AATACCTGAATAAATATCATTACACTCAAGGACTGTATAGGGAGTAAATTGTGTGTGGTGCAGACAGAATGCAGCTTGGCTTCATAATGGCCACCAACAGGAGCAGCTGGTGTGTATTTTACACGCATGTGTCATTCAGCTTCGTTCCAAGGGTGAGCAATTTGTGGTTATTACAGCATTGTTCAGCTGCAGCATCCACTGCACCCGCAGCATTGCCGAAGACGAGGGACAGTGGGAGCTGCAGTCTGGCAACCCCTGAAAGGCCACAGGCTGCCCACCCTGCTGTGCTGAGGTTGGAAGAGGCAGGCTTCAGGTGGCGTTTAGCACACATGGCTGATGTTCCCTTTGGTAGCTGTGGTCAGCTTGAGCATTCACTTTTCACTCTTGGCTCTCTCCCCCCACTGCAGGATTACTTGAACTGCTCCATACGAGGAAGAGGCTGATGTTGATGAAGGGAGGACTGCACCATTTAATGACTTCTGCTTCTTAAGTTTTTGTTTCATTCCTTTTAATTTTCCTAATGATGAGACTTTGGCAATTCCACCTGTCCAAGGGACAGGCTCCTCGGCTCCCCCTGCCCCGTGCTCTCCCAGGTGCCTGATGTAGGCTGTTTGTATCCTCCCTCTGTGCCCACAAAGCCTTACTGAAGCACCAATTATTGGTGGCCTGCCATAGCTGTAACATTTTCATGTATGTCCATTATTATTATTATTATTTTGTTAAGCTGAAGTGCAGAGAATAGCAGGTCAGGGAACTTTGGACATGTTTTTAATGTTTTTGAGACTTTTTGTTTGGTCCAAGCAACCCTCTCTGGCTCTGCCAAAGCAATCCACTATCCATTTCTTTTCCCTTTCAGTCAGGTGGAGCTCTTGCCACAGGCGAGCTTCTTGGCTCCTACTTCTCTAATTTGCACAGACCAGCAAGAAAGCAAAAACATTCCTCTAAAAGCCAATTCGTGCAGGCAAAGTTGGTCTATTTTTTTTAAGGAAACCTTTTGAAGAAAACCTTATTTAAAATGTCAAGTAGTCAATGGTTGAGTTGCCCAGTATTTTCTCTAGTAAATTTTGTGCCTTGAGGGTGTCTGTATGTTTACATCTGTTTTAGTTTGCTTCAATGTGCATTGTGTTTAGATTAGAATAAAATGAGTTCCCCCTATCTCCAGCCCTTCCCCCCTTTCTGCTGTGGTCCAGGCCAAGCTTTTTATGAGGAGGCAGTGCCCATGGGTTTAAAACGTGTTTCTTCCTGGCCACAGAACTAGGTTCCTAAGGGCTAAGATTCCACTAAGGACTAAGCAATGTCAGTGTCAACTTCTTTCTTTTCCTTCGTGCCACACCCCAGGGCCTGGGGGCGCTCCTGAGGTTGCTGTAATGTCAGGTCTATTTTAATGTATTTTCCTAGCTCTAACTGTAGTGTCAGTTGAGGAAACACTGCTGTATGTAAGCGGTCCAGCCTGCCTTGCAGTCGATGGGCGCTGGGCCAATAGTAACCGTCAGGCGCAGCCTAGCTTTTATCACAAATGTTTTACCAAATTGTTCACATGGTTTGAAATAATAAAAAGTAGAAAGAAAGCTCTCTTTGAACAGCATCGTTTCTCTTGTACTGTCATCCCCCCCAGCAGCCTCAACTGCGGCAGTGACGCGGTGTGGGTCTGTCACATCAGCAACGGAGACTTGCTTTGAATATCAGAAAGCTGTCCAGAGTTGTGCTACACAACGCAACACAGCTGCAGAGCTGGTTTCACCCAGGCACTCGGCCCCAAGGATCACGCCAGTGGAGTGGCATCGCCTGCACTTAAGCCGTCTCAGGCTTGCATGTGGGCTGGCTCTGACACGGATCATCTGCACCGTGCCCCTCTCCTGCAGCCCAGACTGGGCTAATGTTTCCCTGTATTAGCTCTGGGGCAGGGCTCTGGCTGTCCTGGGGTGCTGTGCACGTCTGAAAAGTGGGGGCTTCACTGCACAGGCTGGAGATCCAGCCTTCTCTCCATGCTGCCCTTCCTTAAAGTGCTTCATGGTTCAGAATGTGACTGTTTGGGGTTTTTTTCGTGTTTTCAAGCAGAGTCCAAAGTTGGCACAACAGTATTAGAATGTCCCCAGAAAGCTGCTTGGTTCTCCTTGAGCCTGTGTAACTGCAGGAGTGCATGAGACCCTGTAATACATGAGGGGAACCTGCATCTCTCTCTGTGCAGCCTGTGCAGCCCCCGGCTTATTTCACAGACGTCTTCTGTCAGCCATGGGGCAGGGACCAGGTCACTGGAGACAGCAAATCCTGATCAGGTGCAAGCAAGGCAGGTGGACCAATCCTTCCTTCCTCTTCCCTCAGCAACCCCGACAAAGACTAATTTTGAGCAAGGCTGCTGGTAAAAGGGAGGGAGGTTAAACTTTCCTTACCCCAACCCCCAGCAATCCTCATTAATGGGGGCAGGTTATACTACCTCCCTCCTCACAGCCATCCCCATCGTGATCACTGTCGCCCCATGGTCTTGAAGGTTTTTTTTGGGGGGGGGGTGCATGCATAACCCTCAGCTCACACCACCTGCAGCCTTCAGGGATGGTTGCCCACCCTTGCCCTCTAGCACAGCCTAGAGCCCCTGTGGAATCTACCTCCTTGGAGCAGCCATCCTCAGCCTAGTGCCCTCCAAATGTTTTAGGAGGAAAAAAGAGTGGGGAAGGCTGCATAAAGAACCCGGAAGCACATGGCCATAACGGCGCTTGCAGTCTGACAGCTCTTGCAAAAATGCACTTCTACAATCCAGAAGAACCCTCCCTGACTAAACTTGAGACGGGGCTTCTGGCAGTGTGCACTGTGGCAGGTAAGTTGCCTTCCTCTGCAGGGGCCTCCGCCAGGTTGAAAAGACCCAGCTCCCTCAGTCTCGCCTCATACAGCTTACCCTGCAGTCTGGCCACCATCCTTGTGGTCCTGTGCTGCACCGATTCCAACCTGGTTATATCCTTCCTGTAATGTGGAACGCCAGTTGCATATAGAGCGGCCCTAATACCTCTCTCAATCTAGAAGCCACGTTTCTGGCTATGCAGCCAAGGGTGGTGTTGGCCATCTTGACCGCCGTGTCACACTGTTGACTCATGTTTAGCCTGCAGTCAAGCAGTGCCCCGAGGTCCCTTTCACATCGATAACATCAAGCCATAAAGCCCACTCCTTGCTGTTCCTTTTGGGGAGAAATACAGTTAAAGACAGACTGTACAGGGAAAAAATGGTATATGAACAGTCACCAGACGTCACGGAGAATGTGCACACATTGTTCAGTCAAGATGCTTAGCTACAAATTCTGCGGAATGATGAGAGCGTTACATTATATATTGACCTGTAAACGTACAGTCACTGAATGTAGAATATAACTATTGAGCAGAGAGTGTGAGAAATACATTGTTCAGTCCTGCGTTCTGGGTAATCTGTATTGCAAGACTAGGTAGGCTGAGCTAAAGGTAAAGCCCACTGCTTCCAGAAGTCCACCAACCCCACCCCTTGCCCTTAGGGCACTGTTTCTTGGTTACAGCACAGGAAAAATTAAAACCATAGGTACTAGGCTTTGGGTTTCAAGACAGCTTTATGATGCTGAGTATCCTGGTGGGTGGCTACAGCACTGTTTAAATTCTTCCATGTACTCTAGCCCACCTAAAGAACCAAAATCATGACAACCAATAGGCGGTAGCAGTCTCAAACTCTTAAAAGGGTTAGGCCTATGAAGTCTATTCTAATTCACAGTTCACTTCATGTGATACAAAATTTTAAGTCTAAAACCAAGCCAATAAACAAGGGCTTTGAATTTATACCATACAAATAAGGTGAATTTCACCTTCTGGGTGCAATAAAGTGACCCCAGTGTAACAGGCCGGGATCAGTGTGCTTATGCACGGTGTTGGTGCTGTCACAGGTAATAGGCAACACTAAACTAGAAAAAAAATGCTGAAAAAGTTCTGTGTTTTGCAAGAAACCAAACCCAAATCTTTTCTCATGGGCAGCTTTTGGATTTCTAGTGTCTTCAACCAGAAGTTCAGTGTCCAAGCTTTTTGCAGAACTGTTCCAAATAGAACTTGGATTGTATAAATATCAGAATCTTTCCTTCTCCTGGCACTACATCATCCTGCAGCGAGTACATGATAAATTAGAGCACTCTAGGTCCAACTTCTATAATAGCCTAGTATGTGCCCACTATTCTGTGTGCTTCAAGGAGAAAACGAGAGTCTGCAAGTGTACTGTGCAAGACAAGAGGACAAAAAGGGGGTGCCGTAAAAATGACAGCAATCTACAAGTAAGTTCAGTACAAGACAAACAGCTTCCACCTTCCTCACCTCACAGATGCAGCAATGACATAGATAGATTCAAACAAAGTGCTTATCTGCTTTTCATGCTGAATGTTGGGTGAAAAGGAATAGGTAGCAGTGAAAACTCCAAGCAGTTTGGAAGCCTTTTCAGACTAGTCTCACCCTTCCAGCTGCAAAAGGTCAAATAAAATGCCCACAATGAGATGTATGTTCTGTTCCCTTGTGATTGGTAGAACTTGGTTCATAGGAAGGAGAAGCTCCTTTCTGTAGAGGTGGGTAAGTACTCTAGGCAGCACCAATTTCTAAGAATGAAATGCATCGGCTCCAGTAAGGGGATTGCTTCCCTTTCACGCTGCTGAACAGGCAATGCTGTTTTTAATCGGGAGGAGCAGGGATACCTGTGCAGAGAGAGGCAGTGTGTTACGAAGTGAGGGACCACAGTTCCGCTTAGTAACTGGTCTGTTCTGGAAAGCTCCCCTTCATCCTCCTTCGTGCCTCCACCTCCTGTGAGCATTCTGCTTTGTACAGGGCTGAACCAATGCCTCAGGGAAGCCAGCCTTGAAGATACTAGTGAGCTTCTACCATTAATGGAATATGCCAGCTCTGTCCATTGAATCCAGGAGTGGGCAACCTGTGGCCTTCAGGATGTTCTGGCTTGCAACTTCCATCAGCTCTAGGCAGCGTAGCCAGTGTCCTTTCACAAGGCCTACTACCACACCAGCTGAGATACCCGTGACTGAAAGGTGACTTTCTGCATGCAAAGCATATCCTCTATCACAGGCATGGCACCCCCACAAATTCACCTTGTGCTAGAGCAGAGGGCTGCTTTATCTCTCCTTGCAGACTAATAATACAGGAGGATGCCTAGGCCTTCACACAGCAGGAGAGTGGGACAGACTGGAAGTCTGGAATGGTTTCCTCCCGCTCTTCCCCCCTTGCACCTGTGTGGAGCTGCGGCCGCTGTCAGAAGAGTCCGCAATCTTTCAGGTTCTCCTTGATTATGATGTCAGTGACAGCATCAAAGACAAACTTGACGTTCTGTGTGTCGGTGGCACAGGTCATGTGTGAGTAGATTTCCTTCACATCCCGTCTCATATTCAGCTCCAGGAATTGCAACTTGATATAGGCACCTGCATCCTCATATGTACTGGGGCCTGTATAGATAGGGACAGTACGTTGGAGCACTTTGGGGCCAGTGAGATGTCCCGATTCTGCTCAGATCCGCACGAAACCTCCTGCAGCAGGGCCTTTCTCTGTCCACTTGTGTGGCAGGCTGGCAGGGCTCTAGCGGTTTCTAGAGAAATTTGCCTGCTGCGGTGGGAAGGGCTTTGGAGCAATAGGGATGAGGAGGCAGCTGCCCTGACCCCAAACTTCAGCCATTGAATAAATTGTACCAAGTTCTACCAGGCAGAATCACTAAACGCACAGGTTTGCAAATAAAAATTATAACTGGAGATTGTTTTGTGTATCTAGAATATACCATCACACATGCCACATCTGAAGTGCCTCCACCTAATAGGAGGAAAACGGCATTCTTAAGACTAACACTGCAAAGGAATAGGCACGTGTACAAGCCAAGAATGTAAAAACAGCAACAGTTTGGGTTTACGTGGCAGAAAATTGTTCTGTTTCACAGAGCACCGAGGCCCCCTAGTGCTGGTTTCCAAAACATGTTTCTAAGAACGTTTTTCACAAAACTGGTGCTGCTGCCTCACTGCAAGATACATTCTTTGCTTAGAGTGATAAAAGAGATCACATAAAGTAACTCGCTCCTGTCCACCAAGAGTGCTAATAGTAAAGTCCACCTTTCCTCCATGTAATTGATGTGGCAGAATGTAGCACACACAGAGGCCTTCCACCGAGAGAACAAAGGCCTTGCCTTTCCAGCTGCCCTCCCACACGCAAACCACAAGAGTTACCCAGGCAAATGTAGTTTTTTACCAGCTCAACTAAGTAATAAAGGTGAGTATAGTCATGTTATTCATATGGCTGAATTTATGGATTCCCTCAAGTGTGGGTATGTTACAACAGTGAGAATACGCCAACAGCATTTTTCATATTGACTACATAGTATTATCTGGCCCCCTAAGTAAACTTATCAGGAGCTCTTGAAACGTAAGGAAAGAAGAGAGACAACTGCTTGATTTTACTCTGATCTTCTTCCAGTGCTTCCACCTTTCCTGGGGGTGGGGGAACAAAGGAGTATACAGCCACTGCTCATGATTCATCTCAACAAATGCAACTTTCCATTTTTCTCTTTGATTTCCATTTAATGAGATGCCAGGCTGTTTCAAACCCAGCATCAACTTTTTGATGCTCTGTTTCAATGCTTCCTGAAGCATATTTTCTGGGGGGGGGGGACCCAAAAACACAAGACCTCTGCCTTCCCTCTTCCTGCCAATGAGCATGCAATGCCTACAGGACTACAAATACAAGACCATCCACACAGCAGTAGCTGTATCCACACAAATGTGGCACTTCCACTCTGGGAACTCACCATCATAATCCGGAAAGCAGATGTTGAGATGGGCCTTCTTGATCTTCTCCTCAAAAACATCTTTCTTATTCAGGAAGAGAACAATGGAGGTGGTGGCAAAGTAGCGGTGGTTGCAGATACTGTTAAAGAGGTGCAGGCTCTCATGCATGCGATTCTGGAAGGAGAAACAAAACCAAAGGGCCATTTTCAGTTTCAGCCACTTTGGCTCTTCTGCCTCTTGGTACATGAAAATCCCCCCCCCCAGCCACACACACACACACACACACACACACACACACACACACACACTGCTTTTCTACCTTTTCTGTAATACTCTTACAAGGGACTGAAGTTACATTCCATATTGCATCTGGTAATGCTACCCTCGTCCTCCCTAGGTGATTGCACCACTGCTGGAGAAGGAAAGGGAAATTGCTAGGAAAGGAGTCTCTTGTTTAAGTGCTGACGTCATGGGTTGACTCTGCAGTTACTGCTCTAGCAGATTTCGGTATAACGCAGCTGTGCATTGTGAACAGCCTCCACGGGGGCATTAAACCCATTGTGCTGTGAGCTACTTCTCTGCAGCTACCTCCTTTGCAAGAAACCAACACCTCATCCCACAGAACTAAAAACATACTCCTACACAAGACTGTCCTTTTAAGTCTTGCTTTAAGTTGCTAGAAAGGCATCTTGTATTGCAGAAATTACATTATTCTTGTCCATCCTGATGGTAATATACTAGAAGGACCTTAGTCTGCTGAAGCACACCCATGCAACAAGCAGGACCTTGTGTGAAATCATTCCTTAAAACAGCCAGTGCTGCGTATAGCTCAGCCAGGCCAGTCTTAGGACTACAGCTAATTAACAAATTATTATGCTTCCAGTAACCAGCGTTCATGCTTCTCCCCTCCCCTTTTGGATCCTCACAACAATTCTTCAAGGTAAGGTAGGCACAGAAAATTACTGTGTCAGGCTAGCGCAGTGAGCTTCACAGATCAGCCAGGATTTGAAGCAGGCTGTCTGCAGTCACAGCGCAATGTTATGAGCTCATGCACCCAACTGGCCCCACCACTCCTGTAGAAATCCTGGCAGCCACGGTCTCGCGGGCCTTGCAATAACAGGGCGTCACTTACGACTTCATCGTCCTCCACCAAAACCATGTCGTAGGCACTGAGGGCAGCAATGAAGATGATGCACGTGACTCCTTCAAAACAGTGGATCCACTTCTTGCGCTCAGAACGCTGGCCTCCCACGTCAAACATCCTGCCAGAAAGTTTAGAGAAGCCCCCTGAACAGCCTTGCTCGGTGAAGCCCGAGTACATCATCGCAGAGCTGGGGGGAAGGTCCATGGTGACCCCCCAGGACCCCAGACATGGTCCTTGATGTCCCTCAATTGAACACATGAGCTTTGTTCTCTCTCCAGCAGTCCCAGTACGCGACATGCCTATGGCTGTGCTGCTTAATGTACAGTGTGAATAATAGGGGTGCAACCTGGAAATCATACGTTTTTATCCAGCCTGCAGCAGTGTCCTCATGCCTGACCCACCTACAACAGTGCCATGAGGTAGCTTAGCAGGCTGGCCCAAGATCAGCCAGCAAGCCTCATGGCTGAGCGAGGATACCAACCTGGCTCTTCTGGGTCTGAAGCCTTTTACCACTATGGCTTATTGTAGGGTCCCATAACCCTCACATAACCCCTGCTGCTGGGATTGACATGCCTCAGCAACCCATGGCAAGCCTGCAGGCCTCCTGGGATGATAGGGCAGCCCTCATATGTAAGTTAATCATGCTAGGCTGTTGTGTCACATGAACTGGTTGGGCGAGTGTGATGGAAATGTGTCCATGAACAGCAGTTTCCAGTGCAGGAGACATAAGCCTAGAGGCAGACACTGGTTACTCTGTCAAAAGTACCACCAATATGAATAGGGTGTGCTTTCCCCCACATTTGAAGAAGGAATAGTGAGAGTTCTGGCTTTAATTCCAAAGTTGAGAGTGGGTATTGACCAGATCCTGCATCTCTCTGGAGTTTTCCCACAAATTAAATTAGCATAATACAGAACCTCACTCTTCCATCCCAGCTTGGGAGTTTCTCAATGTCAGAAGTACACCTCACACAAAAAGATGAAGGGCCCAGAAAACGGCCTGAGAACTTAGCATGCCCAGTCTTTATATAGTGTGTCTAATGTGTGTGTGGGAGGGGTGGGTAGAAAACCAAGAGGGAGTAGGAACAGAGTGGCTCATGCTGCACTGATCTGCTATGGGAGAACACTGGCTTGATGTCCTGTATATGGGATAGAATTATTCCCAATGGAGCCATAGAAAAGTGTATTAGCAGGAAAGGAATAGTTAATAAGGGCACTGTTTGGGAACAAGCAGAGTGAATCAATCTTGCTTTTAGGTAAAAAGAAATAACTAAACCTCCTTTGTGGTTCAGAGTTTTGTCATTTTCACCGAGCCACCTTAGGGGGCACTAAATCCTCACAAACAGAAACTGAATTTATCAAACAAACCCCAAAAGCATCGGGTACAGGCTGAGTTCTCTGACAGGCACAGATATGAAATTCCAGGGTTGGCCATGCAGGCTTGTGCCCCATACCAGCCCCATTGGTTAAAGTACAGCTCTGCTGGTTAGCCATAATCAGGGATCAGAGAATCAGTAGAGCTTAATTTTGTTCAGTTCTCTTTTTTTTTACTGCTAAGCTCAGTCTTTCCCATTTCCAGATTGGATTAGGCTTTTATTTTTAGTCCACACAAAAGTGCTTGCATATGTTCCCAAATATACCATTTGTGCATGCATGTTTCCAAACGTATGCATTACTGTACACTGCTGCTTTGATTTCTCAGGACCAGCCATGCACCCAGTACCCAAGATAAGCTCTGCTGCAATTTACTTTGGGTCGTGACATGACAATGCACCGCATCGGCATGGGGGAATGTGTTTTAACATTGCACCAAATGTTTATCATTACATCGTATTAAATACATATTAACTACAATTTTTAGTATTCTGCAAACCTTAGTTACATTATATGAAGTGGTCCACAAATACTACAAATGAACGAGTAGTTGCAGAGAAAGACCATGGGTAGAGTGGACATGCAGCCATCATTTCTGGCAGAAGCAATGCATTTAGGGTACAATCCATCCAGGGGCAGGAATGGAGTGATCCTGCCCCCATGCTGCAGCAGCTCCACCAGCCAACCCCCCCCCCCCCCACACACACCCCTCAAAGCCAACTGCATCAGCTGCCCCAAAGGCAGTTTGGGGAAGGGGTGAGGGGCATACCAGGGAGCAGGGAGGAGGATGGGGCCATCTCCCAATGCCGATTCCTACCTGTGCTCCAGCCTCTTTTCCTCTCACTCCCCAGTGCTTTTTCTAGATGGCTGAAAACAGCTACCTAGAAAAAAGGCACAGGTGAGGTGTGCTGGTGGTGAAGCTCGCTGCTGCCACCTTGTTCTGGCCACGAGATGCACTTCAGCCTCCAAATTAAGCATCTAAGGTGGAGGCTACTGGATTGCACACTTGGACCACAACCCTATATGGACTTGCATGCAACCAAAACCCATTTCAGAAGACAGGCCTTATTTCTGACTGAGCAGACAAGCACGGAGAGTGTGCTGCATCGTTTGTACCTTAGCAAGTCTTTGTCAGCTGCAGCTGGACAAGCAGGAGCTGACCCACAAAAGCTGGTATCCTAATACATTTGTTAGTACTTTGGTGATGGCTTTTGGCCATTTTCTTTTCCTAATGCAACCCCTTTCATAGCACGGTTGATTACTGAGGGGACTCCCCATGTCTTTAATTGGAAGGACACAGTGGAGTAACTGGCATTTCCAAAAGCATGGCTCTCCCCACCAAAATATGGCAGAGATAGCAGAAGCTCTCAGTCTTTCCATGATTATACTTCCAACCAGAAGCGAGTAACCTTGCTACTGCATATAGCCCAGTGGTCTTTTCAAACTGAAAATTCGGGGTCCTAAATCCTGCCTTTTGATCATAACGCTGAACCAGTTAATCCAGTGCAAGAGCTGTCATTGCTTGTGTGGTTTGCCCTCCTTTAGCATCCCTTTTGCCCTCCTGCCACACTCAAATGATACCTGAAGTTGAGATCCTTAAGGGAAAACTGAGTTTCAATGATGCCAGTGGTCTTAACCCTCGAGCGGAGAACATCTTGCTCTGTAGGGACGTATCCAGGGGCTACCAGTCGTGGCAAGTCACTCAGGTAACTGTGAACATAGAAAGATATGGAGTCCACCATGTGAACTAGCACAAAGTCCCTGACTTTCAGAGCAGAAAGCTGCATTTCCCAGGCTGGATCCAACACCTCCACTGCACAAGAAGGGGCCTTCCGTGTCCTCTCCTCTTGCCCTCCTCTCCTCATCACATATTAGAAATCTGCTCTGGACATCTGGAAGGATCTCTGGATGATGCATGGAGGGACTGTGGGGTAGGGCAAGAGAAGAATGCATTCTGCAAACTGTGCCATTTCACTTGCAAAATATCCATGCTACATTCAGCCCCCGCACATCCAAAAGGGCTGGGCAAAGCATGCTGGTGGGGGTGCCAATTCTAAAAGCTTCAGACCTTCGATCAGAAAGAAGAGCAGTGCTCTTAAAAGATCTGGAGGAGGAGGGCTGACCTGGAAGTACCAATCTAGAAAGATGTCCAGAGAGTTAAACTGAACATCCCTCTGCCCATATCCCAGGGGTCCTCAAACTTTTTGAATAGGGGGCCAGTTGAAAGGTGCCAGGAATGGGCATGGGCCACCAAGGCGGTGTGGGCGGGGGGCATGGGCTGTGGGGGGACATGCATGGAGAAAGGCAGGGGCATGCATGCGCAGAGATAATTTTCTCTCAACGTGTCCAAAAGGATCTCTTTGCAAGCAAGCCAGTGCCTCGGGGCCAGCTTGCTCACAAGGAGATCATTTTGGACTCGCTCGGAGAAAAGGATGTCCTGGCAAGGTGCCGACTTGCTCGCAAGAAGATCCTTTTCTCTGAGCAAGTCCAAAATGATCTCCCCCACTCGGAGAAAAGGATTTCCTGGCAAGGTGCTGGCTTGCTCACAAAGATATTCTTTTCCCCGAGCAAGTCCAAAACGATCTCCCTGAGAGCAAGCCAGCACCTCACCATGGATCAATGGGCATGGCAGGCCAGATCCAGCCCATGGGTCGCAGTTTAGGACCCATGCCATAGTCCAATCCCCAAACATCCAGCTCTGCAAAGATCAAGGCTTGTAATTTCCGTCTGTCCTCTTTCTTGCATCGGCCTGCCTGCATCTGCTTCTTAGCATGGTCTACGAAAGGAGGAGGAGACTCCTTGCAGTTCCAGTGGGAGCAAGCAGTGCCTGAGCACAAGGCCATGCTCCAGGCATTTGTTTATGGACTAGAGGCATGCCCTATAGTTTCGCCAAAGTCAGAGATGTAGGGATAAACATCTACCAGTTTCCAAACATGCAACATCTTTTAAACTATGGAAAGAGGGAAGAGATGTGTGCCTCCATGCACATCAGACCTCTGAAATCCTCAGTTAAGTCAGGGGTCACCTTGCTCCCGCATAAGAACCATCTTACACAAGCCTCAGGGGATGCAAGCAAGGAGCCCCTACTAGCCAGCCGAGTCGTTTAGCTGATACTCTGAGGCCCTCTCAAAGCAGGCTTGGATGCCCGTGTCCTCCCAAAGGTGGCAGATGATGCTGGACATCTCCTTAGGCATGGTGCCCTCTTCAATGGTGTCTGCCAAGTGCAGCAGCTTGCGAGCGTCATCCTGCAATTGAGATGGGAGGAAGCTCAGTGGGATGAGACCCCCTCAGCACCCTCCTCTAAACAGCATTGCCTCTCCTGCATGAGGAGGAGCCCTCCTTCTACTCTGGCTCACACTTTGACTTTAGAGCTCTGAACCTCTCTGGTAGATGAAAGATTTTATGTACAGGAACAATTACACTAGTTGTCTCACACCTCTTCATTTTTTTACTTGGAACGTACTGTCTGGAGATATTCAAATGGTGATTTATTTTTAGATATCTTTTGCAATGGACAGAACATTTTAATTTAGCACTGTTCTGCCTCCCTTGCCGTCCACGAGCCCTTCCCTGTTTCCCGATGTGTCTGTTTATTTAGATTGGAAGCCTGCAGGCAGAGGCCTACTGTTTTCATTCCACATTCTTCCTGCACTTTATGCTTTTGTACTGCATAGCATCTTGTATGGAGTCTTACTATTGTGTGGCGTCTTGGAGTACGAGGTGGTTTCAAACACCACAGAATTGCTATTACTACTGCTGCTACCACCTTGAGGTGAAGAAGAAGGCAGAACACAGCCCACCTGGGAAAAAGTCTATTTCTCAGTGACTCACATGCCTGGCCGAGTCCCCATATTGGATGTTGAGTGTGCCCATGGCCTTCACAATGGCCAGCATGGACTGCAAGGTGTTGCTGTAGATAATGGAGGTGAATTCCAAGCACTCCTCCAAGGAGTAGCCATCCTGGTGGATAATTCTAGGATGACAAAGGTTAAAAAAAATCACTCCAAAACAGTTTCAGGAGGGCTGTGACTGCTCCTGGATGCTGTCAGAACCTGAATCCACGGAAGTCTTGAAGTGGTGCTCTGAAGGATGTCAGGTGGGCATGTGGCCAAGGAGCTCTGCACAGGAAAGCTGGCCAAGGAAGTCATACAACTTCTGGGTCAGGCTGGCTTGCTGGTCTGAGGAACAAGGGAGGCCTAATCTGGCCGTCGATTACACAGTAGACAAAGGTGAAAGGCACTTTGCTCAGACTCACTCCCTGCTCCATGCACACACGCCAACAGAAAGTGGCACGTGCACCACTCCACCTCATTCCACTGCATTCCCAACCAGTCCCATCTATGACAACAAGCATCCTCCAGAACCATAAAAGGGTTTAGTGCAACAGAGGGCAACCTATCAACTGCCTGCCTAAACTAGCCCACAAGACTTGCCCATCCAGCCTGCAAAGCCTTCCAGGTTTCTTCCATGGGGTGAAGCTCAGCCACCAAGCCTCATTCCCTTGAGGAATCCCCACTGTTATCTCTGATCTGTGCTTGGAGATATTCTCTGGGATCCTCCAAAGAGGAAGACACTCCCCGATGTCATTCAGCCTGTGGAAGGCAGCTCAGGTTGCCCTTTGCTGGTTTAGCAATGCTGCCTAGTCAGGAGGGCACCATGCAACTCCACTGCTATAAAGAAGTGAACATTTGGGGGATACTCTCAAAGTACTGCTAGAGGTAGTCTGCATATGGATTTGGATTTATATCCTGCCTTTTTCCTACAAAGGGCTCAAGGCAGCTTACATCATTCTCTTCCTCCATCTTATCCCCACAACAACAACCCTGCGAGGTAGGCTGGGCTGAGAGTCTGTGACTGGCCCAAAGTCACCCAGTTGGCTCCATGGCCGAGCGGGGACTCGAACCCAGGTCATTTGAGTCCCAGTCCCATGCTCTTAACCATTACACCACACAGGATGCAGTTCCTCTAGAGGTCTCTAATGAATTCCTAGCCAGCAGCTAACTTTCCTTTCTCCCTTTCCAACCTCAAAGGGAAATTATGTGCTAGGGAGTTAAATACTGATCTAAGAAACATAGAAACAGCACGAGTCAGAAGGGGCCTCCAGGCCCATCTAGTCTGACCTCCTGCTCCAGCTAGTTCCGCTCATGACATGCCTACCATGTGCATGTCCAGCCTGTCCTTAAGCACCTATCCTGAAAAGCCAGCCAGTGTTTCAGTTTCTCCTGCATGTTCAACAATAATCCCCTCCAATCGTTCTCTCCCCTTTGGCCTATTGGCTGGAGAGCATTTTCAACGAGCACTGCATCATCACTTTTCAGCCAGAAGCAATCACCTTCCTGGCCAATGTAGCTGTATGATATCTGTATTTATAAATGGGTTGGGCTGGAAGTAGGATCTGCACTCCTCAAAAGGAAGGCACCTTCAGGGAGAGAAAGGGTTCTGCTCCCTGAAGGTCTCCTTGTTGATTGAGGTAGACACCCCTCACATCACGGCTCACCCAGTTCAACAACTCTCCAACTCTGCGTAGCATTTCATGGGCTGAAAGGGTGACTTCAAGGAGGCATCAGAGAAGTTCACTCCTGGCTAGCACAGATGAAATCTGGACCCAACCCTTTGCATATTAGCTGCACACTTAAAGCATCTTGGCAGTTAACCTAAAAATGTGGGTCAACAGAAGAACAACGGGGCTGTTTGTGTGAAGTAGAAGAGGGGCCACCATATTTCTGAATTACTAGCCTCTTCTAGAGAAAAATATCATGTGGTATGTTCTATTAGCACTTGGTCTACTAAGGAATAATTATTGGTATATTTTCACTATCACACCTTAAGAATTGCTGTAGGGAAAGGCTAAGAATTTGTGTACAAACACTTACTTCATTTGCTTGACAATGGTGCTTTTACCTGATTCTCCAGCTCCTGGTGAAATAGGAAAGGAAAGGAAAGGGATTAATCTGTGTCCCTTCTAGAAACTAGCTCCATCTCTGGTACAAAACTCACAGCAGGTAACCAATGACGAGATTCATAAAAACTCACTCACCCTCACAAAATCCAGCCTTAGGCAATATAAATATATTTGGTCCTCAGGTTTTCTCATCCAACAGGACTTAAGAAGGGGCCATTGCTCAGTGCTACTCCACACATATTAAACACATGCATTTCCAATTCCAGTCAGTTCCATTAAATGTTCTCACCTGGAGAAAGCCTTGGCCCAAGACCAGGTTTAGATAGGCAACTCCTGATATGCTCTAATTTAATTTAAAGAACTAATTTTAAGTGCCTCAGCTCTGGACACAAAATATTGCAAATCTTCACCCTTGGTATGGAATTTTGGAAGCAAAATATACTTCCCAGGCATGATCTGAGCTTGCCTATCACCGTGTACTGCTTCTAAAGCTATCAGTTTAGCTCAAGGCCTCACCTCCATTTATATTTGTAACAGAAAAAGATAGTAAAGTGGATTGCACTACTTCAAATTGTGACTGAGAGATCACCTTTTCAATATTGTCTGGCATAAAACAACCCCCCTCCCTCAAATAGACAACCAGCACAGTAAACAGAAAGTAAACTAAAATAATATGTCAATTTTCTTTCATTTTTCATGTGTAGGGCATTTTTTTAACATATGGGAGCATCTTAAAGTGATACCCTCCCCAAGCAGTCTGAAGTGGTAGAGTCCAAACCCTCATTCTGCTGCATGCAGGTGAGCATTCCAGTTTTACTTTTGCACTGTGTATTTGGAACTGGCCTTCAGATAAGAAGATGTTTGACAGGTGCTGAATTTCAAGACATGCTCTTCTCAGCTCTCTTGAAAGTTATATATTTTAAAATGGTAGCATCAGAAAAAATAATTGGCAAAATCTAAGAATGTATTCATTGGGTACACACACCCCAAGCACAAACCTCTGCAGCTTAGTGTCTCTAGAATATTAAATCACTGAGAGTGCTTGTGGTTTTTTGCATCTAACACATGCTGAGAATTTTAAAAAGTGGTGTACCCCATCCAGTGGTAAAGCAGAGGAGGTGACCTCAAACTGGAAAGAGAACTTACTAGTGTTGCCAAATATTCAACCAGCCAGTGCAGCTGTGCAATCAACAGTGCTTCGATCATTCTGCCTTTTATTCTCATAAGAGGACACCCTTGTCTACTTTCACTGGGGACATGTTGTCTGTGTGATCTGATATAAAGCACCTCTCTTGTCTTTCCTGACCTAGCCCAAGGGCTAGCTGTGAATTACAACAACCTTTCCTCTAGACATGGCTCCAGCTGGTGCTACAGCAAGTGACCTACGGAGGATTACCCAGCCCCAAAGGCTCTGGGGTAAGTTGACTTAAGCATTGCTCACCTGCATGACAGAAACAGCAATTTGGCCACAGGCAGCTTAGCTGCCATGCTGCGTGGAAAGGGGCAGTGCAGGCATGCAAAGCTATGGAAAGCCACAGGAGAGGAGGGAAGACGGTGACAGTGGCACCAGGGAAGACACTGGGGACAGTGGCCCATTTCCCTGCTATGTGGAGAAGGGCATTCCGTTAGAGTTTGGGCCAGCTGCTTCTTGCTTAGCATGGGACACACCCTAGTAGGGAAGTGGGAGAAAGGAGCAAAGCCAATGCCAGTGTTGTTTCGTGTACTAGGAAAAGGGGCTGAAAGACAGACCAATGGCATCTTAATTTTAGGTCATGTCCAGCCGCTCTGTAGGTCTTCATGAATGCTTGCCATGCAGAGATGAGCCAATTGCCATATACTTCCATGACAGCTTGCACAGCTGCTCCCCCTGGTTTGACCCACAAACAACAGTCAGTGTCATGAGGGAAATGGGATTCCACACAACCATTTTAACTCAGCAGGGAGCTCCTGGGCAGATCTAGACAGCAGCCAGAACAGCCCCCTGATCTAGTCATTTCAGTAAGCTTCACTGTAAAGATACAGCCATGCTTACCACTCTTTGGTTGCAGTGGGTCATAGGGAGACCGAAATATAGGATCAAGCTGCCTTCTGCTCAGAAAGACCATGGGTCCAACGAGCCCAGTACTGTCAGCACCAGCTGGCAGTGGCTCTTTGGGGATTCAGGCAGGATTCCTTCCTAGCCACACCCAGAGATTCTGGAAGTTGGACCTGGGACCTTCTGTGTGGAAAGCATGTCTTCTACCAGTGCACTGTAGCCCTTCCCAGTGCTTAAGGGGCATGTGCTCCTGCCCAGCTCTATATTTCTACTTCTAATAAGGGTATATGTTGGATACTTAGAACTGGGTGTAAGCTGCAGAGCATGCAGCAGAAATCTCACTGATCAAATAATGACACAAGTAGAATTAAAACTCATCACCCTGGTTGTCTTTGGGGATCAACAGAAGCAACCCAGAGAGCAGTAGGGGATAGAACTTGCCATAAGTTTCCATTCCAGTGCATGGCATGTTATATGAGAGTCATCAAGATCTCACTTTCTCTAAGATGAGCAGGTACGTATTCCCCTTCCTAGCCTCTGTCATTTTCACAGGACTGTAATTAACACATTTCACAGCACCACCTGCTTTCTAACAAATCTTCACAGCATATTCCGCTATAAAGCCACACAATTTTATCCCCAGCTTCCACTTTGCCTTTAGGGCTAAATAGATCATGAAAAGACCTCATTTATCACCATTCTGCTGAGGATCTACTTCATTCCAAAATGAAACGACCAGCCCAGACACAGCACTGTGTTAAGAAAAGGAAGTGTATACCTGCACAGGGGGAGAATAAGTAATTAGTAGCACCCTCCCAACATGGACAAGGCCTCAGTGATTTGCTCTGGAGATGATCTTACCAAGAAGCAGTAGCTTGACTGTCCTGGCATCCTTCTCAGCATCCTCCTTCAGCTTTTTCTCTAGCTCACGGGAGTGTTTTTCCTCTGCACTAGCCCCTGCACCCATCCTCTGTTTGCTCCTGCCCTTTTCGTTCTGTAAGAGAAGAAAAATCCCCAGAAAGTGTTGCCTTTGCTTCAGTTTTACTATAGGCACAGCCTTCCTGGTCTTGAGATGCTTCACTCCTCTTCCCTCTTCTTTCCAACACTGGTCACTTTCCGGCTCAGAGTAATGTTGTCACCCATGGGAAGGTGCTCCAAACTACCCAATGTGAAGCAAGGACAGGTGAACCAGGGCCAGGTACACTGCACTCTCAGGGCATCCACCGGATTTTAATCTGACTTGCTTTGCTCAGCAGCTGCTTTAAGCCATTTGTGAGATAAAGCCCCTCAAATCTTCCCACATGCTAAGCTCAGCACTTTCCACTTTCCATCTGCTCTTGACCTGGAGGTAAGCATTATAAAGGGGGAACATCCCTCCCTTCAAGCCATGTCCCAGTTTTCCCACTGTAGTGTAGGCAGGGAGTTATGCAGTGATGGTGTTAAAGAAAACCCCTGCATTTCAGACTCATGACAGCTTCGGGGAATTACCTTTACCACAGAGTGGAAGGGACTGGTAATTTAGCTGGGCCAAGCTGCCCCCCTCCATCATCTTACATTATCTGGAGAAAAGATAAGGAGTGCAAGGAGGAAAACCTTCCGAGATAGGAGGGGCTAATGTAGTGACTAATGCCATCACCATCAATGACATAGTATTTATCATTCATAGGGTGGTACTTAAATGTGTGTTGAAAGGCATTCTGTAAATTAGATTGCTATATTTTGTAGGCAAGGAAAAGAGAATGAGAAGCAGTGCCCTGCCCTCTAGTCACGCTGCAAGTCCACAGCAAAGATGCGAAGTGAACCTAAGTTTTCCAGATCCAAGTCTAGTTCTTCACCACATCAGCCCAGAGTTAAATTGTGTGCAGTGTTTTCTTTTTTTCCTCCATAGCACTCTGGACTAATTCCTTTACAAAAAATTACACCTGGAATGAGAGAAGCCTGCTTACACTTACCTGGCCTCAGAACGTTTTCCTTCTGCGTGCTTTCATATAGGTTAAGAGATTATTTTTATTTCAGTTATGACATTGCCAAAGTAGAGCTTATGCCAGAATATTAATTTTGCAACTTTATCCCAAAAAGTTTGGATGGAAATGATTTCTAGAGTAAAGTTTGAGGAGAACATTTTATAAATGTTAAGTCAGTTCAGGCTCTGTTAATAGGCACTAATTTCTCATTGTGACTCTGTGCATGTGTGTGTGTGTGTGTGCACGCACACACAGACACAAGTACATGTGCATGAGCATGCCTACGCGTGTGTGTGTTTGTGTGTGTGTGAGAGTACTTTCATGGTGCAATCACCCTGACTCATATGGGGAATTCACTGAGGAAGTCCAGGTGACGTTTTCTTCTCTTTTTAATTACAACAAAAACATATGCTAAGAAATTCCACAATGTTTTTTGTTCAGTTGTGCCACTGAACGCTTCTGGAAAGAGAAACAAGCTGCCACTGCCTTTCTAGAAGACACTGGTCAATTTGGCAACAAATCCCTCCCTCATTTTCCTTTCCTTTCCTTTCCTTTCCTTTCCTTTCCTTTCCTTTCCTTTCCTTTCCTAGGATTTACCTTTTCCACAGCCAAAAAGGAACAACTCTAGAGGGCAGCTGTGCCCCCTTCTAGTACCCCCTTTTAAATAGCTGCCAGGAAATTAAGGAATTGAAACATTTCCCCCTCTTTATTCCTCAGAGCCAGCAAAAGTCACCTGTTACCTTCTGCCTGTGTAGACTTTCTGCATCCCATTTTTCTCCTCTAAGCTGGCAGCACATAGCCAGGAGAATGGCCTCCAGTCAAGACGACTTTCTTCCGTCCTGCAGATACACATTTTTACATGCAGTTGCTGAGACTCCTGAGGGAGAGACTCTGAGGAGAGACTCTCCTCCGGGGGGAGCCATTCCAACAACAGCACGCACGATTCTGCTGAAAACATCCAGCACTGTGGAAAGACATTTTTTCAGCACGCCTGTTCAAGCTAGCAGTCCAGTCCAACATTTGTCAGGAGATTTTGCCGGCTGACAAGAATTCCTGTGAAGCAAACTCTCGCTAAGCAGCCCCGTGGGGAAAGCCGCTTGCTTGGGCCTTGTAAGCCTCTCACAGGAGCATGCCTCGCTTGTTCCCCTCCTCCCCCGCCCGCCCGCCGCCTTTGAAAACGGCCGGCGGGCAGCTCTGCTTGTATTTGTATGTGGTCTTCCTGAGGCGTGCGTGTGCTGGTGTAGCTGCTTGGTCCGTGAAGCCTGGCAGAGAACGGACTAGCCTTGGCCCAGTGGCACAGGACCTGCGACGACCTTACTTTAGCAGGCCTGCCCTGCCGCAACCAAGCCATTGGCAGGAGAGGGCAGGAAATTAGACCATGACCCTGGTTCCTCTTTCCCCCTGTGTTTGCTGTTCCTTCTGCTTCCCTTTAATGAAGGCAAAAGAACAAGGCGCCTTTGTGTGAAGGCTCTAGGGCAAGGAGGGGCACAGCCTGGCCTAAGAAATGCAACACCTGCCCCTTCCCCAGCCTAACTGCTCATAAAACAGGAACAGCAGAAAATAATTTACCTGGTCGCTTCATAAAAAGGGGCAATACACTGTTCCATAAATTAACAGACGATTTTACAGCCAGCACCCACACCCTAGTCACTCTAAGGGTGAGAGATGGAGCAGTAGCAGCTTCAGCACAGCCAGGGCCCTTGCCTAACCCACAAATGTCCATGCTTGTCCTTATGACATATCTGGCCTCTTGAATTAGGTGGGGGTTCAGTACCACTTCTGCTCTGTGAGTGTGATACCTGCCATCTTACTCACAGATGCATCAACTCCTGGGCATTCCCCTCCATTCACTGAAGCCCAAGTGACAGTTCAGTTCATGATTTTTCCAATTAACAGTTCAGAAACCACAACTTAGTAAGAATCTGTTTCCCATTATTTCCTAGTTTTGTTGGAGCTCTACCTCAAGCATTTCAAAATCATAGAATAGTACTGTTGGAAGAGGCCAGAAGGCCATTAAGTCCAACCCCTGCATAGTGCAGGACTCCTGGTTAATCATAACTTTGAACCCAACAACTGGAACCTATAGGCTGGTTATGAGGGACCCCGTCATGAGTTCTGTAGATGGCCATGCAAATGGAGTGGGGCCTCTTAGGAAGTGGTGCTGGATGGTGTTCATTAAATAAGCACAGAAATGAATTTGTGAGTTTCCTTGAAGGAAACAAAGTACCATGAGCCTTTGCTGTAACTCTCCTTTGGTGTGACCACTCCTGGAATACTGTACACTGTTTGGGTTGCTGCAGCTCAAAAAGGAAAAGGTGCCAAAAAGGACCATCGGGATAATTAGGGGGTTAAGCAATTTGTATGCGAAGAAAAGTTGCAAACATTAAAGGCTATTTTAGAAAAAATGCAAGTAAGGGGTACACTGCAATGCACAGCAAGCAGAAATTGGATAAAAGTAGAAACTTAGCAAGTCAGGAGGGGCCTCCTGGGCCATTCAGTCTGACCCCCAGCACAAGCCATTTGACTTAGTGTCCAGCACGTGGGTCTCCAATCTTTCCTTGAACGCTTACCGATGGGGCCTCTACCACATCCTGTGGAAGCTCATTCCATATGCAAGTAAGTTTTTCTCCCTCTGTTATGGAACTCAAACTCTTCAAGCTGAATTATGGCAGGCTCAAGTCAGACATTAGGAAGTACTTCTCCATGGTTAAACTACTACAAGATGTGCTGATGGTGAGAACTTCAGGCATTTCAGAGGTGATAAATACATGCATGGCTATATGTGACCTCTGGGCTCAGAAGCAGTGTGTGGTGGTGCTTCCCTAAAGCATCACCCTCAACCACCATGGAAAACAGGATGGTGGACCCCCTAGGCATGCCATTGGCCTGATCCAGTGGGTACAGCATGATCATTTATATGTGCAATTAAATGCTGGAATGCTCCCCTACCTTAAAACAAAGCAAAGCCCCTCTTTGAATGTTTAAAACTAGTTGTCAGGAGAAGGCTAGGCTATCCCTCTGGTATCCTGTTTTTGTTCATGCAGAGACTCACCTTTTCAATTGAGAGAACATTGAGACATTTTATCCCCTGCATAAGAGGTCATTTTTTTCTTCTTCCTTTTGGCTCTTTTGCCAAATGCCTGGGACTCAGGCTATCCCAGGTGTGTACAAGTTAGTGAACAACAAAAAGACATGCATAGATATGTACCTGGTCACATTGATGATGATGCATTTGGTTAGAGTTGACTTGATCTTAAGTTTTAATAATGGTATTTGGACTGATATATATGTGTTTCAGCTAGTGAAAAACCCAGCAACTATTCCAGCTTTTCCCTTCTGCAGATGTTGGACTACAGCTCTCATCCTCAGCAATATGATCATGGTCAGGGGTTACAGGAGTTGCCTAGAAAGCCAAAGCTGGGAAAGACTGCTAGATTAACCAAAGGCAAATAGGCCTGAATATATCCTGACCAGAGACTGCAGTCCATCAAAGTGTTTTCGCATGGCAGTAGTATCCCAACCAGCTTTCCCACAATTATCATGTGAACAATATGGGGAAAGAAAATATAGATTTAGTATGATTATCTAACCCTTAGGGATCTTTGTGGCTATATTTCCCCAGATTTGTCCTTCTGCCGAGTGTTTTTTTAATAGTAGGTCAAAGGAACTAAACTTCTGGGACAGGTATGATTAGCGTGTCCAGCCATGTAATTGTATTGCATTAGCATGAGGTAATGTTTTTTCATTTTACTCACTTGTATTACTTGGGAAACTTGGAAATACAATGCAATAAGCTACAATTTAGAGAATGGGATTAAATTAGATGCACGCACATAGGAGAGAATCCAGCACTGTGGAAAACAGTCAAGAATCGGAGTGAGTGATATGATTTTAATTACAGCATGCATCTGCCTGGCAGCAAAGCATCTTATAGAAATAGTTGCAGTCTAAGGCTGAACCTGTGCAAAAGAAAAGCCCAGATCCACAGGAGGCAATGGAAGCATTTTGAAGAGGAGCAGTGAAGGAGCCTTGAGTTTTCAAAAACAAAGCCAGTGTTTATTAGCTTGTTCTATCCACAGGAATTTCACATTACAGGCGCAAAGTGGCTCTGCACTTGAATTCATCACAAGGAGCTACTTATCAGATGCTCCATATCCCCAGTTTTTGTTACATCTTCAATTTACAACTATTTACAGGAGAAAGTACAAGCGCAACACTTGAGCTGGCAGGGGGAGAGGTCCTGCCTGGAAGAATGAGGGAGCGTAAATGAGGTTGGGCCCAAGGATGCTGCCAAAAAAAAGGTGTACCCTTTGTTAAAAGCAGGTTGCACAGCTTCAGAGCCCAAAGGGCACACAGTGTGGGCTTCCACAGGTTCGGCTCTGCTCTGTTGAGCCGTCCCTTTCTGGCCAGAAAGAATCCTTGAAGTTCACTCAGCATTCTAGCTTCCACCCCAGCTCAGCTAGGCTGTACATTCAGCAGAGTGTGATAACTCTGGGCACAGTCTTTTCCTATTTTTGCTGCCCTCCATGGCTGCAGTCCCTCCCTGTAGCTTCTTGTGACTATTAGGACAGTATAGGAATGCCTGTTCGTGGCAGAGCAGCATTTGGTTTCATCAGTGTGTAGGCCTCACTGGTGGGGTCAAAGACCTGATATCCAGAAAATGTAAATCAAAGGTCAAAGACCTGATATCCAGAAAATGTAAATCAAAGGTCAAAGACCTGATATCCAGAAGATGTAAATCAGTGTGATTCCATAGGTGAAACCCACAAGGATTGATTCAAACCTAAGATTTGCCCTTAAGTCCTCTTTGGAGGTACGGAACATAGAAGTCATGTCCAGAGCAACGAAACCAGTCTGAAGGGGGAGTCTTAGGGACAAGGTAACCAGCCCCACTGCTAAAAAGTGTGGGATATGCAATGCCTCATTTCTGAATGAGAGGGGTCTGGGCCCATTTGGGCTCAGCAACCTTCAACCTAGCAGCCCGCCTCCCTAATGCTGGGCATGATTCCACCATCATGAGGAACATGCACTTGTTCTCTCAACTCCATTTTCCAGCATTCAAAACAGTGCTAGGGGCAGAGCAAGCCCGGCTCAGATGAAATCCTGCTAATATATTTTGGATCTGTAGATCAAGTAACATTCACGTTTTCCTAGAGGAAGCCTATATGCTGAATTAGAGCCTCTCCCCCCACCCCACATGGCCAGCTCCTTGCAACATCTCCTGTGGGCTGCATTTCTTCAAAGCGGCCCCTTCATGACATGAAATGTATCTTCTACCTCTACAGTTTTGCATTTGAGATGACTCCTTAAATCAGTGGTGGGAGACTTGGGACTCTCAAATGTTTTGTCTTACAAGGCCCATCATCTCTCAGCATTGGTTATTGCTGGCTAAGGCTGATGGGAGTTGTAGGCCAAAACATCTGAAGGGCCACAAGTTTCCTACCCTATATGAATGATTTTTGGCCAAATTCCCACTTACTCAATCAGATCCATAATCCTTATCCATTTGGCTGCATGAATGACTTTTTTTTGGTGCTAGTGCTGTCCTCCTCACCACCCGTTTTCTCTGGCTGGCATGTGTATGTGTGGATAACAGTTCTTGTCATAAGGGATAGTTCATGCTGTGAATGGTTTTTAGCCTGAGGTCTCTGGAAACTCACCTACCAATTAAGCAGGAAGACAAGCTCATCATGCTGTGCCCCTCTGGAAGGAAATGTTTCTTACAAGCCCTGCACCCAAGGTAGCTGACATGGACTGATTTGTAATGAGAACACAAGAAGAATCCATATGGGAATGTTCAGACACTTAATTATAGAGTATCCCACACATCTCCTGGGCTTGTATTCTGTTGTGGGAGAAACTTGTGCTACCAGACTGAGGATTTTGACTCCTAAATTACAATAAATAAGTAGCTAGGGTAGCTGGGATGTGGATTCCTCCAATCATTGGCTAGTAGAGCAGAAGTCAGGTAATTTGATGGCTATCCGCTGATGCCTAACCCACTCTGCCATTTCTACTCCCATGCTGTCTTTGGCCTTGGAAGTGTCTGACACATGCATTACGGGAGAGTAGCTTTGGTTCATATATACATTACTTCTCCCCAGCATAACCCACATGGATGAGGCCCTCCCTTCCATCACGTAAGCTAGCTCAGCAGAGCCAGATACCTACAATCATAGCTACATCCATCTTCTCACCCGCTCTTTTGGTTGCATCTATTGCCAAAAGTCTATTGCTACTACCTTTAAATCACAACTTGCACTGACTTTGTTTCTTGCAGATCACCAGCCAAATAGCACTGGCTGAATCACAAGCATAAAACTGTTCCTTGGCTCCTAATGGTGGGCTTGATTTGCTGCTCATAACAATGGGAGCACGCATAGGCCCAGGCGTGGATGTCCTTGATGAAGCCCTTCCTTCTCCCTTAAATGCTTCAGGCTCCTAAGAGCTGCCACCTCTGTGCTATGTAACTCCGGAGAGAATCCTGCCGGATAAATGTATAGAGGGGGAAGAAAGTGCTGAAGTCCTTGCAGATGCGGTAGGGGCTTATATACACCACTGGGCATGCTGGCCGAGGGCAAGGATGCGCAGCGTCTGGCGGCAGCAGGAGTGTTTTCAGCACAGGTCACTCTGGAGGCTCCAGCTTGCTCATGCAGACTCTGCCGTGAAGGTCCCAGCTCCACCCTCCTGGATCTGTGGACGCCACGCAAGAGGGCCCCAATGCGAAGTCAGCGGTACAAAGACTTTCCTTGCAGACCCCACCTTCAGGCTTCTCTGTGCCTCCCCTTGCCTGCTGGGGGCAGCTGTGTGCTTTGAGGTGTCACGGAGAGAGACAGAGAGAGAGAGAGGACTCCTGCCCTCCTTCCCCACCCCTCTGATATCTCAGCTATTTTACAGTACCACAGAGAAAAGGGGGAAGGCAGAGGAAGCCGTCAGCGGGACGCCTCTACGCTCCTCGCCGTCTCGCACCAAGGGGAGATCGCATCACCCACAGACTATGTACAACCTACAAATAAATACTGTCTTGAGGGGGAGTGGGGCATGTTTCTGTGTGTGTGTGTGTGTGTATGTATTTATATATATATTTATAGATATTTTAATATTAAAATGGGGAGGGGGATATAGCAGTGTCACTGCAGAGTCCGTCTTAGCTGCCAGTTTCATGTCTGCGGGTCCATCTCTGGCTGGTGGTTCCGGCGGTTTCGAGGCTTCTTTTGGTCATGCAGCTCCTTGGCCTGGAGGCCGGCCAGGGTCTCCTTGTGGCTGGAGGCGACGTGCCGCCAGTAGCCCTGGCAGTACTGGTTGATGAGTCCCATCTCCGGCTGGGCGAGCAGCTGCACCAAGTCCTGGTAGTGGGAGCTGAGGGTGCTGGGCAGGCTGGCTCGCATGGCCGCCACCGAGGGGACGGGGGTCTCTGCCTGGAACAGCACCGCGTGGACGGTCTCCCTGCTCAGCACGTGCAGCTGCACTTTGGTGACGGTGTGCTTGAAGTTGTTCTCAGTGGCTGTGCAGGAATACAGGCCCCCGTCGGAGAGCTGCAAGGACCGCAGCAGCAGGCCCTGCTCTGTCCGCAGCACCCGTCCTTCCGTGCGGAGCTGGAGGAGGAAGAAGCACCAAGCGGGCAGATTTAGCACAGTGGGACAGGGATGGGCCTCTCCCGTCTTTTGGGGCTGGGGGGCAGCTCTGAAACTCCAAGGAAGCACAGTGGGTGCTCGCAGAATGGCTGCTGCGGAGGGGCGTGTCCACTGGCCAAATTGCTCTTGGGGGTGCAACAGTCACAAAACAGACACAGGCAAACTAGCGAGACTAGTGGTGTCGTGGTTAATAGCAAGGGACTGGGAGTCAGACGATCCGGGTTCGAGTCCCCGCTCAGCCATGGAGCCAACTGGGTGACTCTGGGCCAGTCACAGACACTCAGCCCAGCCTACCTCACAGGGTTGTTGTTGTGGGGATAAGATGGAGGAGGAGAATGATGTAAGCTGCCTTGAGCCCTTCGTAGGAAAAAGGCAGGATATAAATCGAAAAATAAATAAAAAAATAAAATAAAAAGCAATTTGGCCAAGAACCTAAGGTGGGTTCTGAGGCTCAAAACACAAACATACTTTTTTGAGCCCACTGTTTTCCATTTCACAGAAGACAGACTGATGTTGCTTAAAAGCAAATAACATGGCCGTGAAAGTGAATACGAGCCAGGGGCTGAGCCTGATTCTCAAATGCCTTACTGCATATTTGTCACTACAAAGCATGACAGACCATTCAGTTCACAGAAGGCAAACTGGTGATTCTCAGAGAAGCACATGCAGAGAAAGAAAAATGTCCCCAACAGCACATTCAGCACAGTCACACAACGCGAAACAGGCGCAGCTCACTCCCCACCACGCCCAGTCCTCGAGGACGTGCCCACTGCCAGTATTCATGCTCCCTTTTCTTGGACATGCTTCAGAATGATGTGCACACCTGTAGCTACCCAAGAGATCTTGGAATAAAGGGGCTCAGAGCCATGATTGAAAATGAAGATAGTGCTGGAGGGTGGCACCTCACTTCGGAGCATGGCATCTTCCCAGTTTAAAAACCATTTTAATTAAAAAGCTGTTAGGAGGTGCAGGGAACCTGGTGATTCACAAGAGAGGTGTTTGCAGGCACAGAGGTGCCCACTGCTGTGACTCTGGGGACCACAAGAACACGTTGTGCATGGGTAGCTGGGTGGTGGGAAGGAAGCCACAAGTCATTCACAGACAGAGAACTTTCTGGCTTTCTCTCTCCTCACTTCGCAGCACTGACTTAGTTTCCTGTTAAATCAGTCCTAGGTTTTTCCACACCATCTCAGTCTTGACAAATGATGGTGAGACAGCCAACTTCTCATCCTTGCAGAGTATATATAAAGTCACTCTGCCTGAGCTATACTTGATGAGCTCAGAATCGGGGCGGCTCCTTTGCTCCTGAAGCATGTTAGTTGCCCAGAGCTGTTATCAGTGGCTCAGCCCAGAGACTGCACCACTTCTGAGGCTTTACACCCCAGTTTCTTCTGGGCTTTTGCACTTCTGCACACTTCCTTTGAATATCCAGGATGCAGTTGAAAAATAAAGATAAACAACAAATTTTAAAGGTAAAAGAAAAATAAAATGTCAAAGAGGTAGCTGAAGGCATACTGAGGAAAAGGTGCCTTTTGACAATACTGAGGGAACAAAAAGAAACTTTTCAGTTCAGCTCCAGCATTTATTATACTTTACAGTGGAGACAGAAGGCAGGCTCCCCGCAAAACCTGTGAGGGAAACGTTCCCCTCCTCCCCACTCCTTCAGGTTCCACCCTCAGGCCAGCCTGTGCATGTGCTCCTCATACCTCTTTCCTTCGGTCACTGTTGTCCTTCTGAAGCAGCCACTTGATGGTGGCCTGAGGGGAGCGTGGCTGGCACTCCAGAAAGGCTGTGCTTCCCTCCACTCCATATTGGACAGCCTCCACTGTGTTCCTGCTGGCTAGAGGTGAGAAGAGAGCAGACAGTGATGTTGCTGTACATTCACGTGCATGGAACTGCGGAAGAGAACTGAACTTGGCTATGCCTGTTCGGCCAGGAGAACCTCGCCTCCACTGACATCTTCAGGTCAAGCACCCATCCCTCCATCTATTCTCCTGCTAACATCATAGTGTGAAGGTGCTCTGACCTACAACCGATTTGCAGACATGGAACAAAGAGAATGCAGCATGTGGCTCACAGAGATGCTCAGTTTGACAAGCAGGACTGCTCTGCTACTTTCTGTTCCCCCACAGGAGTTTGGCTGGTGAAAAAATGTGTTTGGTCTGTCTGCATTTCTTTAGCAAACTAACCTAACTTGTATCCTTCAAATTGAGGACTTTTCCAAGTATGTCAGTGCTGCATAAAAACATAAGCATATTTTGGAAAGTTGTGTACACAATTGCATATAATAGGAAAAGCTGTGTGTAAAATGAGTAGGTTAAGGGAACTTACAAATGAAAGCAAATGCACATTTTCCTGATATTTTATATGTACGTATACATACATGCATACACAGAGAGCTCGCATTTGGAACACAGACCAAATGTGATGGAACACCTTCCAAATGCTCCAAATGGATGGAACAGGCTTGTGATTGAAGACACACAAAGCTGACACAGACCAGATATTGGCAGGGGAGGTTGTGGCACTCACCATTGGAGTTGTAGCCCCTGCACTGACGGATGGGGTTGCCGTGCCGGACATCCTGACGTCTGCTCCGCCTTTGGTGGAGGAAGGAAGCAGAAGCAGAAGTAACCATGATGGAAAATGATGAACCCTGTGTAAACCACTTTAATTTTGTTGACTTATTTATTTCTACAGTGTGTCTGTCACTCTAAGGTCAATGGTTCCCAGGGCAGTGCCTAAGACACAAATGTAATCCACATACACAGAATTAAAACATAAAGTAATCAAAAGAAATCAATTAGAATGGCAAAGGCTAAGACAGGCAGCTAAAATATAGTGGAGATAAAGCTACACAACCCAGCACATTTGTCACACTGCTGTCTGTCAAGGGCGTCCCTGGGCACTGCATCCTGGAATAATTCTCAGCCAATCACGGCAGACTCAAATGCTTCTCAAAATCCATTGCCTGCCCTGGAACAGTCCTGCTTCTTACGGCCACCCAGATGTCTCAGCAGCATAACTTTTTCCTACACTGCTTCTCAGCTATCATCTGGCATAAACCTTTCTTAGACCACCCTTGAATCCCCCTTTATGATGGTACAGCTAGTTCCCAAGAATGTTCCCAGGATCAAGCTGTAAAGCCCTCTCTCAAGCACTCCATGTCTCTTGGAAAGAGCCCCTGTTCTGCAGTGTTCGTGACCCTGCGATCATTCTTCAAAACCCCTTTCCAGAGCGTTCCCAATGTACAGCTGCACACTGGAGTAGAAGCTTGCTCTCCAGGACCCTCCCAGCCAAACAGTACCTCTTGGAGGATGCGGAGTAGCGGGAACAGGACTTGCCATCCCAGGCACAATAGGGGTCCCTGGCTAGGCAGCAGTCAGCACAGGCTTCCCCATACACGTCGCAGCGGTGAAGGGCCAGGTGTGTTAGCCCAATGGCAGAGGAAACATAGAGCTGTTGCTGTTAGGGCAGAAGTAACACTCAGGTCTCAGTGGATCCTTCTGCTCCCACAGTATAGCAAAGCATGCATGGAGGTATTGTCCATTTGCTGGAGTGAGGACAAACACTGGTCCGGTTCAGCGACCAGCATTTTATTCTGCCCTTCACCTCCAGAAGGAGCCTGTGGTGATGGCAGCTATTCCAGTGAAATGGAAGATTGCCAGAGTGAGGATCCACCACATGCCTGGGCTTTCTGCTAAGATGACGCCCGCTGACACCTAGTCAAGACCACCCTTTCCGCCCACAACCCTCGGCTAGATCAGTACAAGAGGCATGCACTCACCCGTTTGGAAGAGATGGTCATGGTTTTGATGGGAGCTGGAACCTGTGGGGAAACCACATTGTAGCAGTCAAACCAGGAGCTGTGGTGGTCCTTCCAGAAGCTTTGGAGTAGTACAGAGAGGAAGGACACATCCAGGCAGACAAGGCTGCTTGATTCTTGACTGGGGCTCTGTGGCACTCCTGTGCCTGCAGTTCTTCAGTCATCATCGCAATCACCATTATTAGAACAATTCTTATATTGTGAGCATTTAGAAAATGCTCGTTGGGTGTGCACCTTGGGAATAATTGCAACCGTTGCGGAAGCTAGATAAGAATGACCGATTCCATAATGTAGGTGTCAGGGTAAAACAGTGCACAACCTGTGCCCCCATGACTCCCCCAATGCATCCATTGCAGATCCCCACTGATGTTAGGGTTACTTGCAGCCACCTATACTACAGCTGCTGATCCCCACTAACCCACCCAGCCCCCTAACCTGTTGCTCCCCATACGCCACCTATGGACTTCAAGGCTGAGGGGAAATTTGAGCAAGGAACTGCACAACACACAATATTCTTTGCCACTCACTACACTGCTCCAGCTCTCAAAACCGTGTGCTCTGCAGAAAAGCTAGTGACCCTGAAATACTTGGGGTGAGCAGTGTCTTACCTTGAATACCTCCACCTCTTCTAGCATCAGTTCTTCTGTCTCCGTATCATCTTTGGGCAGGACAATAACCTTCTGGACAGTGCCACGATCTGCAACACAAGGCCAATGCAGAGAGGACAGTGAGCATCAGGTGGGCCTCCTCTCACCCACCTTTTCTGGTTTCCACCATGATGTTAAAATCCCAACAGCAGTAGAGGTGCTGCTGCGATCTGTGAAGGACTGGTTTGCTTGCTCCTACAAGGAAGTGTGGGCCAAATCTCATATAGCTTCTCCAAAAATAACCCAGGGAATGTGCAGCCCTCCAGATGCTGTTTGGACTACAACTCCCATCACCACCCACCATGGGCGGGGCTGGGCATGGCTGATGGGATTTGCAGTTCACCAGCACCTGGATAGCCCACCCCTGCCATAAGAAAACTGGTTGAAGGAACATCCTTCGTCATGAGTTCTGCATGGAGGTAACCACCACTGAGAAAGTTCTGTTCCCGGCAGGAACCTGCAGATGCCCGAATGCATTCAGCATTAATATTCTTTAATTTTTAAATCCCAAGAAAAGCCCACAGTCCTGACGGAAAGGAGTATGTTTTGGGCAAGAAGCAGAAGAAGCACATGATCACAGAAAACATATGGAGCAATATAAAACAAAAGGGAATTGGAAGACACTGAGATAACGAAAGGTTTTGGTGCAGATATACCTGGTGGAGAAGGTGACAGATACAGAAACCATGGTGGTGCTTGAATATTGTTGGAAGGAATGGGAAACGAAAACAGCTACATGTGAATCTCAGAGAACCAAGTGAATCTGGCTTATAAAAGGAGTGTATGCTTTAGTTGCACATCCTATTTGTCACAAGATGTTATACCCAGTCATGAAAGCGTATTACAGCAAGATACCGTGAGCATTTAAAAATAAATAACCTAGTCAAATCTGGTAGGAATGCACTTATTTTGTGTTGAAAACGAAGTTTGGTCCAATAAAACATGGCTGTGCTGTATGAGTTTAGCCTCCAATGTTGCAGTCACAATAGCATTGGCTACGAACTGATGGAGAGGGAAACCATCTTTATGAGGTTTATACAGTAGCATGTGCTCATGACCTTCACAGGTGCCTCAAGACTGGTTCATACAATTGGTATCCAGCAGCAAAGCTTAAATTGCCAGGTGGCAATATGGCACATGCCAGCTGCCATTGTGAATATTCAACTTACATTGTGTAGTCACCACAGCTTATCGTGTTGTGTGAACCTGGGCAGGATGGCTTGCTATTGTGGGTAACAAGCCACGTAGAATCATGGCTTGTTCTCAGTTATGGTGGCGGTCTAGTCGACCTAGTCAGCCAGCTATTGCAAGAAGTGGCTTGTCCAGAGCCTTGCAAGTAGTTTGCCTGCCCTCCTGAATGTAAATTTAGAGGAACGGGGTAGGGAGGGCATCTGGAAGAATAATTTATTTCTGAATCTATTCTGCAGGAAGACCTATGTTATTTCCTATCTAGCCTGGATTTCAGGGTGGGCGTAGGGCAGTTCTGTGCCTTCCCTCAGGGCCATAACATGAGAAAGGAAAATTTTTTAAAAAGCTGTAAAGCCAACAGACAATCAGCAAGGATGCCATGCACCCAACACATTCTGAGGGATCTTTCTTGAGTGAACCACAAGTCTTGAGTAGCTTTGTAGGAAGTTTTAGAAGCAACTTGAAGTGTATTTATTATTAAACGTGTATTCTGCTACACTGGTCCAGGGCCCTCTATCTCCCCTGATGAAGAGGCACATCTGGTTGAGAACTATATATTGGTACAGTGGCCCTTGATGTCTGGACAGAAGACAGTTTCAGGCCACCCATGCTATTTATGTTTTCTGGGGGCAGAGGGTTCAGCAGTGGGGTGCCAGGAAGAGGTCTTCAAAACAAGGTTGGAAGGCCTGCACTTGCATATAATAAAGTTTAACACATAACTAAAACTATAGGTGTTTTTAAGGAGTCATGGCATGTACTTTGAAAGACAAGAGTGGAGGAGTTAGCCCATCCTTTCTAAATGGCACCCCCACTAAACTGATTTGCCCGACTGAGCTGTTCTGAATAGAGAACAGCTTCATTTATTTATTACCAGTTAACGTAGCTGGAGAGAAAGCTGAAAATAAACACCTATTGCCAAGGCCACCAAGTCAGTTCCCCTGCCTTGTTTGCACTCTGAATTGAATGCTTCCCACATTCATTCATTCATTCATTCCATGACATGGCCAAATTCCTGTGCTCGGTCAACATTTTCTGCTTCTTTCTGCAACCGGAAGCAACCAAGATCTGGAGATTCGTTATAACCTGTGGCCAAAAAGAAAGAGGAAACTCCCTGCAGGCTGGGGCAGATGGCACTGGGACTGCACACAGCTGCTGTGGGCCGTGCACTGATCTGGGCAGCCGAGGGAACAGCTGTGTGGAGACACAATTGTTGCCAGCTAATGAAAACTTTCTGGATCGTTAGCGTTCCCGGCCACCTGCCTGGTCTATGGGCTGGGCTCCTGTGGCCCCCTGGGAGATAACCTACTAACCTACAGCAGAGTGGAGCTTGTGCAAGTGGTTCCTGCCATCATTAACTGGCCAGACAGCTCCCCCGCCACTGTCAGGGCTCTGCAGTCCTATAGCCCTTTATTAATCCATGTGCTTCTATACTCCAGCTATTCAGCAAGCGATCCAGCTCTGCCCCAGGGAATAGTTTGCATGCAAGCTGAAGGTGTGCAGTTGGGCATGTGATACCTCCATGGATTTCCTGGGCAGATTCATGATTGACCCCCCCCTCCACCCCCTGAGAATGAGGGTCAATGTTGCACCATCAATTTGTGAAGAGTTCTGTCTGCTCACAGAATCAGGAGGTGAAGTCTGATTAGTAAGGCCATACAGCTTACTTCCACTGGTATGCTTTGGTAAAGGCAAGGCTCGATCTTTTGGTTGGCTCTTTTTGGAAACAGGAGGCTGGAACAGACAGTCTTTGCCTGGCCCAGCAGGGGAGGTCTTATTTTCTTCCCAGGGCCTCAAAGGACCCCAAAGAAGCACTCATTACCTCCAGACCGAGATCTTTACCTGAATTCATTACCATTCTAGACTTCATTTCTAGAATGGGCTTGCAGGTCCAAATCCATAAAGAAGGAGCAATCAATTCTATATGTAAAGGCCCATTTTAAGGAATTCTGGAATGTGACTTGGGAAAAAAGTTTCTCTAGATACAGACTTTGATCAAAAAGGCACTGGGATGCTTCTGAATACCCTTTGCTGGAAAGTGCTTTTGCCCTCATGTCCCACTGGCTGGGATTCTGGCTGGCCATTGTGGGAAGCGCAGTACTGGACCAAGCAGATCCAGTATAGCTCCTCCTGTGTCCTTATGTTAATTCCAAATGGGCTTCTCTGCTCTTGAAATAATACTTGGTGTGAATGGAAGAACTGACCCTGAGATCTGTCATTCCTGCCCTCCAACTCACTGCTTCCAAAGATCACACTTCTGAATCTTGTTAGAGCTGGGGTGGTGGGGGTACGCCTGAGGAAAATACAGCTGAATACCCCTAATCAGTCCACCCCAGGTGGGTACCCCATCACACGAACCAACCCAAAGCACTTGTCTGCCAGGCAGGGGAGTGGTGGTGGTGAGTGGAAGGCATTTGTGTATTCTCTTCAGTGCACATCAGTGGGTACCTGTGCCCAGGAAAAGCACCTCATAGCGCCCGTCAGCTGCATCCACCTGGTCCACGGCAATAGTTGTGAACTTGTAGTTGACGTTGGTCCTCACCACTAGCGGCTGGCGATGGATGGGGTACACTCCATTGTACATCATGGGGTGAGTGCGCATGAAGTTGATGACCTCATCAGGGTAGTCCTTGGTTGATTTCATTGAGGGTGTGAATGTTCCTCCTGGGCACTGAAAACCCAAGACAGAAATACAGGGCAAAGGCATGAGGTGCGGTACTATCGATGCCATGCTAGAATTTCTGCCTGTCTTGCCAGGTGCTCACATTACAGGCATCCACAGCTGCACCTGTCTTCTCCTGGGATCCTAAGTGAATCACCCATAGAATGCACTCTGGCTACTTTCTCTGGCAAGTTCTTCCCCCTGGTGAGATGCATCAGAATTCTGTCAAATCATTACGTTTGTCCCACCCGACAATCAAAATTCTTGGGGTTCACAGGACAGAACTTCAACCAAAATTCTTAACGGTAAACTCAAAACTTAATTACAAAAAAGAAAATAAGATCCAAAAACATTTACATGAAATAAAACCAAACTAAGGGCCATCAGATCTAAATAGACATTAAAACAATTTTTAAATCTAAAGAACTAAACTGTTTGGGGAGAAAGACATCATGATAGCTGTCAAAGCTTTTGTTGTTTAAAGCGTTTAATTCTGGGGAAGGAAGACTTTTTAAATTTATTATTATATTTATATCTGACAAATATAAATTTCCTATTTATATATTTCCTTTTAAGGGACTCAAGGTCACTTACACAATTCTCCTCCTCCTGCTCTCAATTTTATCCCTTCTGCAACAACCCTGTGAAGAAGGCTGGGCTGAGAGTCTGGGACTGGCCCAAAGTCACCCAGTGAGCTCCATGGCTGCGTGGGAACTAGAACCCAGATCACCTGAGTCCCAGACCTGCACTTTAAGTGCTACACCACTCTGGTTTTTTGAAGAGCCTTCTGTGTCTATGACGGGTAGGTGGATGGAGCCAGTGTCGTTGGCCCTTTGGGCTGGGGCTGTAAAGTATCCATGCTGTTAATGTCTCATCTTAGGCTGCCTTCAGTTTCTTTACCATGAACCAGAAAGCTGTACCCCTTTGGCGCTTTTCTAGATTGAGCCTTTGAAAGTCTATTCTTTTTTGTCGACAGGAACATCTATCTTTGGTTGTAGGGTATTTTCAGTAATGCTCACACAAACCTCAGAATCCCATCTGTCCCAGCTGCTATGCCTTGAGTGCCAAACACAGCCTGTTCTTAGAATTTTTGGAGGCCGCCCCATAGCATAGCCGAGACCATATCTGGCTCTTCTGGGCCCTGCTGGGTGAATGAGCAAAAGAGACCAGAGAGCTGCACTCTCCAAGCCAATAAAATGAAGCAATGAGTTCTCCTTCTTTTTGGGTGTTTTGCCAACAAAGAAGGATGCCAGCAAATGAGTCTGGAGACCACCAACCTGGAGAGGAAACACTAATCAGCCTCCCACGCGGTGGCCAAATGTCAAGCCGTGAGCAAGGCTGAAAAGCTGCTGGCTGCATTATTGCAAAGGATGCAGACACCAAGGGAGGAACAGGCCGGAGGAGCAGAGGGAGGAAAGGACAGGGCAAGGATGAGAGGTGAGAGAATCGGAGCAGGAGGCATCCACACAGGAGGGAGATGGGGGGCAGAGGGGAAAAAGCAGTTGGAGAGCAGGGAGCATATGTGCAGCAGCTAAGACTTCCCATCACCACAACCTTGAAAAAGGCACAAGGGGAAATGCTTATGTGCATAGCGAATTCAGCCCATTGGACCACCTGGATCAACCTTCCGTAACCTGGTGCCTTCCAGATGTTTAGAACTACAGCTGCTATCAGCCCCAGCTAGCATGCCAATTGGCAGTGATGGGGGCTGCTGTAGTCCAAAACATCTGGAGCGCACCAGACTGGGGAATGTTGACCCAACCCCGCACGGTGCAGGCTGAGAAGCAGTGGCGCTCCAAGGCCTTGGCGCGGATGCTTTTCCCAGTTCTGCTGCCCCAAATCCCTTTCAGTGGAGGCGCCAAGGACTGAACCCGGGACTAACAGCAAAGCACATGCTCTGGCATGGAACAGTCGTCCCCTCATTCAGGACTGCCGTCTGTTTGCAGTTATGTTTTGAATTATTAAATCAGTAATACTGCCTCATATGAATTCATTCAAAATCAAATTCATGAAGCTACCTAATATGGATCAGTCTAATCTGCTGTGGAACAAAGGCACTTTTAAACAGTCATTTTAGATCAAAACTTCACGGCATGCAAATTCTCCTAATGGAGAACCAGTAAGTTCAAACTCATTCAGGTTTTTTTTACAGGAATATGCATTCTGCTACACCTCATAACACTCTGTTCTTCACGACCCTTTGGGAGCAATTCTCTAGGCTCTCAGCCAGAGGTCTGTTCCCCTTGACATTTCAAATCCTTTAGTCAAAGACTAAACCTCTCCATCTAAAAGTTTGTGCTCTTCCAAGGAGCTATGGCTCAGATGGATGCCTCCAAAAGCCTGACATGAAAGAGGAACTCCATGAATAAACGGAACACTCACCAATTGAAGTCCAGACCTGCTTCAGTGCCAACACTGTATACTTTTTTGGCACCAGAACAGAACCGTTTTATTCTCCTGTTATTATAATTATTGAATAAGATGGTTATGTTTTTATAGTGGTTTTTCCTTAGATAAGGATTGACTGGTTGCTGTGGATCAATGTCTATAGTATTATATATTATTATTTTATTTTGTGTTAAATTTTGTTACATTATTCTTGAATCGTTCAATTACTATGGACTTATTAGTATTATGTTTGTGCTGTAAACCATTCTGGTATAGAATGGACTACAAAAACTTTGAATAATAAGTAAATGAGCATTCCCCTTTCTTGTCAATATACCATTGTGTACATGCACGTGCATTCACACAACCAAGGGCAGGGTCCATATACAAAATGCCTTGAGACTAGATTGCTTCTATTTGCACCGATGAGGCAGGGTCACTTCGGGCCACTGCCTTAGGAGGGAAGCAGTCCTCTGGAGAGCCCATCTGTACTTACTGTGCCTGGACGGGGATAAGGCATCTTGCCTGTGTAAGGCATCCACTGGTAGTTGGGTCCCTCCTTGTGAGCAAAAGGCCCATTGAAGACCATGCGGATGTCGGCCATGGAGTAGACACAGACAGCAGAGCCCTTAAACACTGACCTGCGTAAGGAGAGAGGAGGCCAGGGAAGCCGTGTTAGTCCCACACACGACCCTCTGCACTGCACGGAAAAGCTGGTGGCCCTGCTCCATCTGGGCCTGCACCGCACGGGGCTCCCAGGCTCTCTGCAGCTGCGAAGAGGACGCATTCTTCTCCGCGCGCCCTTGGCTGCTGGCAAGCCCTTGTAATGCCCTTAAGCCCTTGCTAATACGCGCAATGACACGGACCCTGGAGAAGCAGAGACTTCCTGCCTGGCTGGCACAGAGGACCACGGCAGCAACCAGGAGGTGGGGTGGTGGGCTGGGATGAGGCAATGCAACTGTGGTGCTCCAGGACCAGCCCAGAGCAGCTGCTCTGGAGTTATCAAGCCAGGCTCCCCCATGGTACGAGTATAAACATTCCAGGATTAGTCATTCTAGTCGCAGGCATGGAAAAAAAAGGCATGAGCTGCTGCCGCTGCTCGCTGGCCCAGCAAAGGACCTGATGCCCTCTTGACCCAGCAGGGGAGTAAATGCATCCTGGTGTGTCTACTCCACCTGCCTTCTTCCCCGAGGGATCAAGTCATCAGCTACAGCTGCTATGGCTGGGTTTGTGGGAAAACCCCGAGCTTGGCAAGCAAGTCCTTCTGGGCTCTGTTCCAGCTCTGCCAGAAAACTCCAGGACGACCCTGCGCGAGACCACGCTCCCGCCTCGGCGAGGAGTGGCGCGCATGTCACAGCATCCACAGACTGGACTGAGCAGGGCCGGGGTTTGGGACAGCCTCTGCTTCGAAGCCGAGGCCGGGGCTCTGCCCTGCGCAGGCTTGAGTGCAGCCCCCTTGCAAGGGGGAAGGAGGGCCTTCCCAGAGCACACTCACCCAGAGGCAGCAAAAACAGCATAAATGATGGGGTTCTTCACATCCTGAGTCTGCTGGATGAAGACGTCCTCTTGAAGCGAAAGGAGAGAGGGAGAGAATTAGCACGTGCCACGTGTGTCTGGGATGGGCAGGCCGAGTTTGACATGAAAAACTGAACAAAGGAACGTTCTTCTTCATGTCTCCTACAGCCTTCTTCAACCTGGTACCCTGCAGATGTTGTGGCGTGAAATTCCCATCAGTGCCAGCCAGCATGGTTGCTGGTCGGGGATGCTGGGTGCTGCAGTCCAGAACACCTGGAGGGCACAGGGTGGGGACGGCTGGTTCAGAGAAGCAGGCCCTGCGGAGTGGCGTTATTACACAGGGGGCTTCCTATCCACCAGCAGCACTGGCATGAGGCGAGGGCAGGACCCTGCATCGTGCGGAGGAAACTGCACGGCCCAGCAGATGTCATGGAGGAGTGGCGGGGAAAGAAAGAAACCCAGAACGGCAGCTGCTCGGTGCTTCCTCAGACATCCACTTCTGTCCTGAGTGAGGGGGTACAAAGATCAGGAAGCTCAGACACCTTGGCAAGGTAAGCTGGCTCCATCCCATGATGGGGAAAGAACAGTGCGCATCAGCTTTCCAATTCCTTCTACCTTTTCTACGATTGTGTTTCTGTGTGACACAAGATCACATTTTCAACACAGGAGAAACTGAGCTGGATTCATCAGTGTGTGGCAAATGCATTTTGCATAAATACCAAAACAGAGTGTCGTTTTTCCCCAAACTGGGCCTGAGTCTAGCCTGATGGCTACAAGAGCTCATTAAGATCACTGATCTATTTTGAACTACACTTCAGCTAACGTGCCTAATAATAACAAATTAACAAAGACCTCTTGTCATGCCTAGATGGGTTGTTCTTTCTAAATAGAGTTGGATCCAGATTTAGTCCTACTTTGAGAAAAGCTATTCCAATCAATAAGACTTGAATGAGTCATTACCAACAATTCCCATTTATTTCAGGAAGTCTCCTCTAAGTAGGTCTAATTCTGGGTCCAAACCAAAGAGTGATAACTCGTGTCAGTGGGGTTGGATTACCTATATTCATATGCTGTTCATAGACAACCAGTGAAGTGCTCAGGTTGGATTTCTCTCTTGTCTGGATTCACAAGGGGTTCCAGAGAAAGGAGTGTCCCACAGATGTTGCTCCTAGTTCAGTCCCAGCAGAAAACACTCTGGTGTGGGGGCAGGACAAAGCCCAGGCCCTGAGATAATTCTAACCCCAAGGGAACCAAAGGATCCTGTGGAACATCTGGTACTGATTCAGAGGAAGTAAGGCAAAACCAGTGCGAGTAAGAGGACAGTGCTAATTTGTTCCCTGGTAGGAGATAATCCATCAAAGGCCACTGAAGGTGCTAGAAGCTGCACTGGGGCCACTAGCAGAACAATTGGGAGACATCTGGCTGGACTTTGTAGAGAGGAAGCTGGCAAGCAGCCCGGGCCACCACACTTTTGCATAGATCCTACACCTCAAACATGCCTGCATTGGAAGCTTTAAGCGACCAGTATCCTCAAAGCTGGGGAGCCCAAAAGCAGGTCAAACTGACTCCCTGTGTGAACGGGCACCCACTCCCTCTAGCACTTGCATGGTTAGCCCTGCAAAAGTCAGTCTGTCCGTCTGTCAGTCTGTTTCTCCTGCTACAATTGCTGAAGGTCTGCTAATGCAGCATGGTAAAAAAGTGACAGGACTCAGTCACACTTCTAAAATTATGCTGGAAAACTTGACTAAAACAAAGTTTTACAATGTTGCTAGTATGCTACCTTCTTCCCTCGGTTTCATTTAAAACATTTGCTTTGCGGGGGAAAGTGAAATGTATTTGTAGAGCATTTTAACGGAAGCATGGCGCATATGAGGCAGAAAGTTGAAAGAAAACATCCACCAAAAGGCATTGTTGTTGCTATTTGTAACCCCTTTCTTTCATCTTCCATCTTGACCCTTCCAGTTTAATGCACATTGTTATCTCTCAAGCTGCCTTTTAATGCTATTTTTCTTGCCGCTTTAGCTAAATCTTACCATTTAACTTACCTGAATGAGGACTGCTCAACTTGCACCACATCCAAGAGATTCATGCTTGCATGAATCTTGGGTCTATTTGTGCTCGCTGAGGGGTCATGCTGTAAATTAGCTGGATCACAGACCATGCTTTGGTGTGATAAGGAGAATTCTGCTAGGAATGTTTGTGACCTGGCAGATTTTTCCAAGTCTGCACTGGATAACTCTTCAGGTCTCTTGAAGCCATAATTTATTCTGACAACCATCCCCAATCTGGGGTCCTGCAGATGTTTTAGACTAGAATTCCCAGCATTCCTGACCACTGACCATGTGGGCTGGGACTGATAGGAGCTCTAGTCTGAAACATCTCGACAGCACTCGGTTGAGGAAGAGTGTGGTATGCAATGAATCAGCCTTCCCCAACCTGGCACCCTACAGACATGTTTGAGTACAAATCCCATTAGTCCCAGCCAGCAATCCAGCAAATCTAAAAGGGAGTGGATTGGGGAGGTTGTATTAATGGGACTTCCTCTTCCCACCCAGCTGCTTTCTCTTCAAATATACCCTGTTTCCCCTTACAGTAATCAAGAATCTATGCTATGGAAGATACCCTTGGATGCCTTGCATTCTTTGTTTGCTCAGGCGCCAGTGCACACTGGGTCATCGATGGTCCAAAACGGGAGGAGGAACTGTTTCCTCTGAGCCAAGGTTCCTTGGGGCTAGGATCACAGTGCCCAATCTCAGTACCGGCTTATGGACTGTAATCTGGGTGCTTAAAGGAGAGCTCATTTGAACACATGCACCTTGGTCCCACTGAATATAACCAGAGCTACTCCTCCTGCCCCACATGGCAAATCTGGGTTCAGGGACTGGTCTTCCAGAAGCTTGTAGACAGGCCCTGGTAATTTTTTCTTTTAAAAATTGGGTATGGGATATATTGGCTGACTTTTGTATTCTTCTGGGGCTCTCTAACCTCAACGCAAATGTCTGGGAACCAGAAACGTAGATTACAGGAAAAATGGAGTCCTCCCACTCCACATATTTGGGCTTTATAATAAAGTTAGAATTGACTCCACCTAGCAGCCAGGGATTTGCATATATGTCAAAACTGCCTATTTTATTTTATTTTATATTAATGCCCCCCCTTGCCATAAGGCTCTCTGGGCAGCTCACAACATACAATTATTCCATATGTAAAATTAAAGGGAGGAAATATCTCCATATTTTTTTGTTTGGGGGAAAATATGTTTTCTTACAATTAATAACTGGATGAAGGTCTTACCAGCTCCTTTGGCAGAGCTGTCAGGGGCTATATATAATTGCTCCAGCATGGAGATCTGGCCGTTGGAGATTCTCATATGTTGCTAAAGGTTCCCAAGTCAGGGTTCTATTAAGAAGTCAGGCTGCTTGGCTTTTACCTATTCCCCAAACCCCTGCCTTTCATATACTTACGGAGTTCATCGAAGTGTGTTTCAATCCCATCCGGCCCGGGCACAGAGCAGATGAGTCGGGCTTTCAGGAACGTGCTCCATTTGTTCACCAGGCAGCAGTGGCCTCCATCGTCGTTCTAAACCAAAGGAAAGCAGCATTCTGAGCTGCCGCAACTGCAGCTCCATTGCCTGCAGCCTGATCACACTGACCTTCATGGAAGTCACCTCTGAGCAAACACCGGGCGGTAGATTCCCAACAGCTTAGGAGGGGAGGACACAGTGCCAACGGGGCAAGAATGTGGTATGCACAGGTTGAGCTCAACCCCCAGCTATCTGTGCCCAGGGCCTTACAGGGAGGGAACAATAGTGGCAGTGGAGGAGCTGAGAGAAACAATGCCACCTGCCTTTCACAGGATGGGCATGTCTGTGCACACACAAAAGGAGAGAGCCCAGATACATGGAACCACAGGAACATTGGAAAGTGCCTCACACTAAGCTGGACAACGGTTCCCTCTAGTCCAGTACAGGCTGCACTGACTGGCAGTTGTGGCATCCCAGGATTTCAGGCAGGAGGTTTTCCAAGTCTTCTCTGGAGAGCAGTTCCACATCCTTGCATTGACAAGAACTGAGCAGGGCTATCAAGGGCAGACCATTTTGGAGTGGATTCATTCACAGGGTTGCTATAAGCTAGAGCTGCCCTGATGGCACATAACTGCAAGAACATCCGGATATGCTGGGGACCTTCTGCATGCAAACAGATGCGGTGCCATTTTGCTAGAGCATCTCCCCATCTCCCACCCTTCCAAGTAACTCAATTCAAAGCCGAGATTCCGCAGGCTGCTTAGGAAGGAGCCTTGTACCCTTGGTCTGTCCAGCCCGGTCTCAGCAACAATGACCGGCAACAACTCTGATACTGAGAATACATTGAACGCCCCTTGTAATGCGCAAATGCATGTTTCTCCATTTTGTGGGATGTGTTGCAGGTTCTCTGAGTCTTACTGATTTTATTCAAAATTAATCCAAATTAGGAGCACAGCGGGTTTGTGATAAAAGTGGGGGTTTACTGATGAAGCGATTCTGCTTTCATGGTTTTGGATGTGAGCTCAATAAGGAATTGAAAAATTAATTAATTAACTGTTAATTAACTTTCAAAGCACCTCTTTAAGGGGAGTTTTAAATCAAGTTTCTTTTTTCAAATTATTGCCATAACTCTCTACTGTTTCCCTCATCACCTGCTTTAATTTGACTGTTCATGCATATCTGGTAAACGTCATGTATTAAAACTGCATGCTGGGATCTTTCTAAGCTTTATTATCACCATCCAGAGCCTTCTTGTTGCTTATTACGAAGCAAGAGTTTCAGGCAGGTTCCTCTCCTAGTTCTACTTGGTGATGCAGGGAACTGAACCCAGGACTTTCTACACACGAAGCCCGTGCTCTGCCACTGAGCTGCAGCCACGCCTCAACAGCACCCCACCCCATCCTGCAGCCTGTACCAGGCAAATGCGACCGATGCGGGAGTAGACAACTGGGCTCTGGGGAGAATCAGCCGATTTCTCTCGGAAGAAGAAGTAGAGCTTGTCGTCGTTCCTCTCAGCACTGTCTGGGATGAGCTGTGCATGTACAAATGCTGGATCTGCAAAGAGAAGTTAAAACAAGAATGCTGTTTGTGTGCGCATGCGTGTGTTCATATATGTACATTCTTTTCAGCCTTCAAGATTTTCCAGCACTCTAGAACAGCCTCCCCCAATCTGGTGGCCTTCAGAGGCATTTGGACCGCAATTCCCAGAATTCCCACCCAGCAGGGCTGTTGACTGGGAATTCTGGGTGTTGCAGTCCAAATGTTTTGGAAGGCACAAGGTTAGGGAAGGCTGCTCTAGAACTTTGAGGCTGCAATAAAATCCATGTAACTCTTCTAAGTGTATAGATATTTTTTCATGCAAATTCTGCGCTACCTAAAGATCCGAACTCTCCTTATTGTTCCAATGAAAAAGTATATTTATGAGTGAGGGAACTGGTTCAAGCCCCTATAATTTGACAGATTTCTTTAATGCATGAGCTTGAAGCATGCTGTTTATTCTGTTATTTGTTGCAATTTGCCTCACCTCGTCCCTGGCTCTGTCTGGGGCATATTTCTTGCATTCAAGCTTAAAGTGATTGAATGGAAAGCGATCTCCAGAGAAGTCTCACTGCACACCCAGGCCTGAGACCCACCCTTCTGATAACGTCTTTACTTCCCAGAGCTTCATGCTGACCTGTAGGAGCTCTTCTGAATAGCTCAAGTGGGGAGGGTAGTGTGCAGGCCTTGCAACTGGAAATGTGCAGGGTTTCCTATCATACCAGAAGATGCTGACCTGATCCCTAACACTTCCCCAAAGCTAGAAGAAGAGGAATGCAAGGGAATGGTAGATTTCTGCCCAATATGGATCAAACGATAAAACTGATTTAATAATAAAACAATGGCAAGATGTGCTAGCGCTGCAGCAGCATCTACTCTCCTTCTCTGCATGCCCACACTGATCTTGCCTTCCATGCACTTCTGTTGACAGGATTAATTTGCTGGATCCTAATCATGGCAGCTGAGCAGTAGATGACTGAGTCTGGCTGCAGGTTACAGAAGTCACGGCTGGGGCAGTGAAGCTTGCACCACAATAACAATGTTTGTCTCCAAGAGGCATTGCCGGGACCCTCTGTTGTTTCTGCTGCAGCAAGTTGTTCCATTCAGGGCTGATCTATGCACGGGGCTGCTGGGGCCACCCCCGGAATCCCCTTGTGGGGACGCAGGAGAGTGTCAGCTGAGCTTGAGATCGGGACTCAAGGTGGCTATTGGACTCCTCGTCTCTGACAGCATTTGCTCAACTTGCATTTATTTCATTCCATTTTGTTCATTTTAAAATGTATACCTTATAACCAAAGTTACAGGCCCACAACTCGAGAAATTAATTAGCTGCTGCCGTTTGGAGCCCTACTAGGAAACACTAAGTATTCTAGCTTAACTTCTTGATGAAGCGCCATCTTTGTAAATTAACAGTCCCCAAATTTCTGTCTTTCTGCACCAGAAATAAAAGTTGTTCTAAATTACTTCAACCAACACCTCATACCCCAAGGCACTGGAGGGGAGGGAGGTTATAGTTGTATTTTACTGTTCCTTTATATTATGCATATGTATATTATTGTATTCCTGTTTTGATTTTAGCATTGTTTTTGTAATTAGTATTGTATTTTGTATGTTTTGATTTTAATATTGTATTTTGTAACTTAATTTGTATTATCTCTTTTTTATTGTAAGTCACCCAGAAAGCCCTATGGGCTGTGGGGTGGCATACAATTGTATTTAATAACAACAACAACAACAACAACAATAATGATAATACCCCAAGGCTTGTTGTGATCCAAGCTTGCACTATTGGAAAGACCTCTAAATCTAGGGCTGTTTTCTGCACCAGAGCTCTTTAGTGGGATGTGTTGATGGCTTATCCCATGCCACAGACCAAAGTCAAAGAAGCAGATCGTTCAGTCAGCCATTAGAAAATGAGTTGACACAATGCTCAGTGAATGAAGCTGCTGTTTACTCGGCTGTTGCGGAAAATGTAGCCATAGGATGGATCAACTAAGTCAGTCTGCTGTGCCAGAGCCCGGAACTCTAATCCTTGCTTTGCACCATGTTGCTTCCCAGTTGCCTGGTTCCCACACGCCACTCCAGCACTGCCTTCTTACACACATATGCACCCCCACCAATTTGGTACCTCCTAGTTCCTTTGCACAACCGCTCTCTATGCCATTTCATCTCCAGTTCATTTTACACCGAGCCTGCAAGCATCCAGAAACACAAAGTCTGTTCATCCCATTCAAGAGAAGGTGTGAGCTATACTTTTGAAAACTCTGAGCCTTGCTCATATATAGGTCTTTTGCCAATAGCTTTCACCTTCCCCATCAGAGCCCAGCCATTCCATGGTTTGAGAAGCAATGCTGCAAGATTTGTGTGGTTGCAAGCCCACCTGTCTAACTTCAGAAACTTTGTAAGAATGTCTGAGAGGCTTTGCAATTTGGAGATGTGCTGGCTGATATTTTCTCTAGAGCCATCACTGCTAAATAATGGCCAAGGAAGGCAAATGGTGCCCCTGGTAATCCCCCACTCGCTTACATTGATAGCTCTGTTCAGGTTACTAAAATGACATCCCCCTAAACCTGATCCCCAACCTCAGTTTACTCAGCTGCTTTTGCTGCTCCACAACAGCTGGAGGTGCAACCAAGAGGAGGCTAAGACCTTCTCTCAATGGATCCCATTCCATGAAGTCTGCTAAAGGAGAAAGGGCAGAAGATTAAATGCCCTGGATCAGTTATCGGAAATGACACGCATACAAACCTGTCCTTCACCACCAACTGTGTGCTCAGAAATAATGCCAGGGACAAGATGCTTTTGAATTAACAAAGGGTGCCTATTTCAGAACCATGGAAGCAAGCAAAGGGAACCATTAGCCAAACACAGGAATTTTCCTGAAACAACCATTTGGCTAGATAAAGGCTATGTAAAAAGAAATCCTTAGTGCATATTGTTTTCACCCTCACCTTATCCTTTTAGTAATAGCACCTTCAGCAGCCTGCCCCGTAATGGCTAAATGATCAGGAAGCACTTGAGTGTTCTGTATTTTGGGGTCCAGGTCATGGTGTTCTTTTGCCAACAGCAATCATTGGAGCATTTGATACCAGTGATGCTGATGAGCAAGCTAGCAGAGCCGTTCTCTTGGTCTTCTGGGGACACGCCAGGAAGTAAGGCAAGAGACAGAGCAAGGAGAAACCCACATGCCATCAAGGAAGAGACTTGCTGTATGAAAAGGGGACGCAGTGAGGGAATGCAGGAGCCTCCCAGATGGGAACACGGCAGCCAAGAAGACCACCTGGGTGCCAGAGGGAGAAAGCCAGGGATCTGAGGCATTAGACTGCAGCTCTACCATCCACCACTGAGCCTCTTGAGCTGGCTGACATAGGGGCAAAGGAAGAACCCCACTCACAGGCAGCTGACAAGACTTGGCATGATTCCTAAGCCTTCAGGGACCCAGTCTTGGAAAGTCACTGGGAAGGAATATGCCTTTGCAAAGGCTACTTGGAAGGATGCATGGTGCTTCCACTAGCATCATGTCCTCTTATCTATTGCCTCTTGTTACTGAATCTAATCACTGAGATGTCTCTCTGTACAAGTGTGTCATGGCAGGAGCAGAGAGAGATGGCAATGAGGGTGGTGGAACAGAAGGGGAAGCTGAATTTTCAAGAAGTCCAGGCCTGCACCGACTCCCAGTTGCCACTGTCCTCCGCCTGTTCAGCTCAGCAACATTGCCTCTTTCACTCACCATTTAGCCAGCGGGAGTTGTACTGGTCAGTCCGCATGGCTGTCTGCTTGCCCATGGTACGGAAGATGGCTGCATCAGTGCCCATGAAGTCAATGTAGACACCAGCATAGAGCTCTTCGTCTGTGGGTAAGGAAAGAGAGGTCACAACCATCCTTCCGGGGAGCGAGATAAAGTTGCCAATAACAACTGATATTGCCTCACAGACCGGGAATTAAGTGAAGAATTATCATGCTCACCCAAGATTCTCATCCATTCCCATCTTACCAGCTTTCCTGATCAGGAAAAGGAATGGTTGGCCACCAAGATGCCTAGCTCAGGTCACTTTGGGGAAGAAGCAAGTTCTGCTTCCATGACACAAGAACAAGAACCCCAGTCCTAACCTTAACCCTCACAGACCCTTTGCACATGACACAGATGTGGAGGAAAACATAAGGAATCGCTTTTGCTTGATACTTCCTGATTACACTAAGAATCACGGATCAGGTTGCATCGAGCGACCTAAATTCTAATTCCTGTGCACCAGAGTGCAAGAAGGCGCATACCCCATATGGAAGTCTGACTTCTTGCAAATGCGTAAGCAACACTGAATAGAGAGAGGTGAGTGTGTAGGTGGGGGGAATGAAGTGTGAGGTGCCTGCACTTTCCAATTTCTCTGCTACATCCATGTCATGTCCAAGGCTGGACCCAGGCACAGGCAATATGGAATTACTTTATTTTAAAGGTCAGGTTGATTAAAGGCTAGGAATCCTTACACTTTCTGTCCAGCATTCATATCTTCTGCTGGGCATGAGGCCAAGCTATGAACTTGTGCTAATTGTCCTTGGAAAGTAGCTATATAAAGCAAAAGCAGGGAAAGACAAGGTCTCTTCTGAAGGAGGCCCCTTCTTGTTGTTCTAACCTTCCATCCATAGAGGAAGGCTCCAAATGGTCAAGGACAAGTACAAAAAGGATCAAGATAAACCTTCACTATGCATACATCCAAGGAAAGATGGACACACACACACTGCTGTTAGCTGCTCTTCCCTGGCCTTCCCACCACCACTCTGAATCTCTTATACAGGAATTACAGTGGCATACAGAAAGGATCCTGTGCTCATTAACTCAGCCACTCGTCAGGCCCAGCTCTCACCCAGGATCCCCCTGGCACACGGGCACAACTCTTGCATTTCCCAGGCCCAAATCGCAGCTGCTGTTAGATTAATTAAGAAGTTTGGAGCTTGTCTTGTAAGTGGATACTAATGCCTGGAAAAGATCAGAGGCAGGCAGGCCATATCAAGGGGTTGGGGGATTTGCAGGAAGCAAGAACTCTGGCCAGTGCCGGAGCTGACTCTTGGGGGAGTGTGGTGCAGCTGTTGTGCCAGTAGTAGGCCTGGGGTCAGCAGGACAATGATACCACTTCTAATTATGTCCCTGCAGTGAGCTTATGTAATCTCAGCCCTGCTCCGAGAGTGGAGCTGTGTGGCGTGTGAGCTGTCCACTTGAGCTGGGGGTGGAGGGGCCCCCAGAGGAAAGAGTGAGGACACAGGGGACACAGTTCAGAGATCACCCAAGTCCAGAGGGCATCCACGTTGAAAAGCAACCTGGACAAGGACTTAGGGAGGAAAATAAGAACCACAGAAGAAAAGTGTGTGCAGACAGATGCAGGCAGCTATCAAAGAGTGGAGGTTTAGAGGATCAAAGGAAAATATACACTGGTAGCTCTAACATGATTGAGGGAATTAAAGTTAAAGGGAGCAGGTTTCCCAGGAGGATTTTCTTCTAAGCAAGCTTTTTCTGTATGCCATGAAGTTATAGTTGTATTTCTCATTAATGAAAGTATGGCAAGGATTTGCATGCCATTTAAAGCGGAATTAAGGCTTTAGTATGCATACATCCAAAGGCTGCTGTGTATGTGCCTGTGCCCAGCCGCTCAATGTCATGTTTTTGGAATGCCGGGTCAATGGGAGAAAGCATCATGTTTGATGGATGTGGAAACTACTGGTTATCAGTGGAATGATGTAAATATAATCACTGACACTTTGCCAAGAAACTTTTCAGAACTTTGCTGTTCACCAAAGCCCTATGCCCTTCCTTTCCTTTTCTCTCCCACCAGACAGGCCCTGAAGCAGAGTAAAATTTCCATCCTTCTCTCTGTTATCAGTCTCTGGGCCAACATGGCTATTTCTCATTTACTCAGCTGGGATTTCCAGCTGCCTCATCATGCCTGATGATCACCAAATGCATTTCTTGAGCCATGGTTGCTTTTAGGCTGCCTGATATTTATGAGAAGCGTACCCCACACCCACTTTTTGTAAACACAATAACCGTCACAATGCACAGGGAGAGAGACACATTTCTCTACAATTTCTTGGATGCCTTTAGAAAGGCTGATATGGCACAACCAAGGAACTCACTGATTAATGCTGATACAGTGTCCACCTTTGGGTCATATGAGCACTTTCCCTTCCCTGATTCCAGCCTCTCTGGTTCCAGATAGAATATGTAGTCCTGCAACAGAAGGTGACAGGTAGATAAATAATCTGTGTTATCTTTACCTTTGGCATCCACAGAGGGCATCTACAAGGACATGAGAAACAAGACACTGCATGCATGAATCATACCCTCAACTCATATTTTTCTCGTATGGAATATCCATCCAGCAAGGTTATACATTAGTAAACAAAGTACTCATGATATGAATATTCCACAGAATTTGTTTTAAACCACTTTCCCTGGTGGCTGACACAATGTGGTGAGTTCATTAGCTCACCATGAGCTTTTGTTACTTCATATATGTTGTTCTGAGATTTTTTTTTTTCGATTTATATCCTGCCTTTTTCCTACAAAGGGCTCAAGGCAGCTTACATTATCTCTCCTCCTGTGCGTCATAAAGAAAATCACTGAACTGCGTGGCAAGCCAGTGCAAACAACTCACCTCATGAAGGCCGCTGCCACCGTCCAAGAGAATCAGTTTTAAAGCAGCCCCTGTGGGGTGGCTGTACGTCACACACTGGGCAGCAAGAGAAGCAGCAAACAAAGCTGCTGTTAATGCATTGCTGAAATGGTCAGCTGACAATACTGCTCCAGAGTGACTACCCTCATAGCCATTTCTCATGACCTCGGCCCTCAAACCTTCCAGGGCACACCAGATGCTTCTGATGAGGCACAGGCTGCTGCTTCTTCAAGGACAGTCCTCTGCCTCAGGGGATGACTTCCTCTTAGAACCTCACAAAAGTCTCGGGCTCCTTAGGAAATCAGGCAAGCAGCACACTTAGCTCTTTCATGGGAGTTAAGGAGACCACACTTTAGGCCTGGGTTTACATGTTACAACAAACAACCCTGCATGATTTCCACAGTGTGTGCTTTTTTACCTGGATGTGCCTGGCCAATGGCCTTATGGTTTTTATGTTAGCATGACTTCCATCCCCCTTAAGGTGTCCTCCCACGGTTGGCACATATCCCATCAGTCAACGAGCCTGAGATGCAATCCCATGCTGGATGGCTGGGGTAGGTCCTGCAGCTGTTGCTCTTTCCAGGGGATTCTCTGGTAGCTGCATACCAGGGCTATGGGAGCCACAATGCTGGGTTCAGCTGACTAAAGAAACTGTGATAACTGCAGAACAGCTGACTAAAGAGTGATAACTGCAGAACAGAGAGTTATTGCTTATCATAGTTTCTAAAAACCAAACGTGTCACGCTGAAATACCATGACAGGGTTTGGAAAGCACAATAGTTCATCCTGTGCAAGAAACCACCATAGTTTGTCAGGTCATGTGAACCAGCCATAGGTTTTGCCAGCCTACCTAAGTCTTCAGCTGACTTTAGCTCCCCGCTGAGACAACATCCCTCTAATATAGTAGTTGTCCTAGGGGAGAGAACCAGCCAGCAGGACCTACTTAAAGCTATCCAAGGTCCTATTTTCTGATGCTTTGATGCTTCTCATCATGCCTTGCTCTGACTTTTGACCAGACTGTACCTGCTTAACCTGGTCTTGCCTACTGTGCCCTGACTGTGCTTACAGGATGGAACTATTTGCCTTGATCTGACTGCCATGTAATGCTTCTCCTGTGAGCCCCATGATACCACAGAATAGGACAGCATTGAACTGTCCTTTCAACCAATTATAGAAACATCAATTTGGAAGTATCATGCAAGCCCAGGGTGTCTTTCCCGTGTTCTGCTTATCAAAACTAACTTTTGTACTATAAAAAATAGTAAAACAAAATTTATCCTAGTCTTTACCTGCATGATTTTTTTTGTACAAAAACATGCCTAAAATCATACTTCTAATGCTCATCATCTCATGGAAATATCACACATTACATTCAAGGCAAGGATCAGGAACATCTCCATAGAAACCTGCTTTTCCTGCGCCATTAACACACATTACATTTTCAGTTCTTTTGCAGACTGAATTCTTTACTGGTTTGAGAATTGCGTGTAGAGAAGCAACTGCTCTACAATGTGTGAACACTGCAGCAAACTGCTCAGTTGCCACATGCTGGACTGGATCCAGATTTCGGTGCATGCAACTGGACCAGTGAAAGTAGACTTTCCTGCCCTCTTCTCCGCACAGCAGACCCTCCAGCCCCTTGACAATGCAACACAGAGGGTCAGGTGACCCCAGTAAATGGGGTGATGCAGGTGAAGAGGATTTGGGAAAGAGAATTGGGAAAGAGAATCTCCAGAATTTGGGAAGAGCCCTTCCTTCTGTGGAAGGCATGTCCTAAATCTAGCCCTATATTACTAAATGATACCTAGCCACATATGGAAGTATATAATAAGTTACACAGTTTTTGACAGTGTGTGAATTGGAACTAAAGGGTAAGAACAATCTGTGAAATTGAGGTATATGTGTGAACATGGCACAAGTCATATCTGTCCACTGAAGCATTTCAGGAAACTTTAGATGCTTCAGAGAGTTATTAGCTATCTTTTGACAAGCTACATTCCTTTCTTAGAGTAAAAGAAACAACTACTAATTACAGATTCCTCACATTTCTTCTGGACAAGAAACAACAGCACATAAGATAGGACCAGAGGTAATATGATGCAGGTCTTAAATATTTGGTCAAAAATTGTGGAGTGAACCTGCGCCATTTACATTGCTCCTGTCACCCAAGTACTGACTCATTATTTCAGTAACTTCCCAATATTATGTTGGGATCCACATCTGGCTTTAGTAGGTGGTTGCTAGGATGCTGACAACGTCTGTAGGTGCCAGTGTGGCAGAAGTACCTATGGGAAAGAGACTGCCAAACCAGGGTGGTAGAATCAACATTTGGGGAAAATCGCATTCCATCAATGAATCTTTTTTTAATGAAATGTTTGGAGATCTCTGCTTTAGTGAGTTGGAAACCATCTGGAAATTAAAAACAAAATGCTGTGACAAGAGGCATTCAGAGGCATTTTGTTCTTTGGTGACTTGATAGACATTGAGCTAAAATGAAGCACTTTTCATTCCCATTTATTTGATTTGGAAAGATTTAAGCACAAACTTACCCCTTCCACTGAAATAAATTAAATATATAATTTTGGCTGGTGCATGCGTATTTTGATAGCATTTAGTTCCAAGGAAGAACGCATATGCTGTGTTGAAATACTTTCCCCCTGCAATGTTTATATTGAATTGTTGCATAAAAGGCTTTAGGTGCAGTCCTATGGCTGCTACACACCATCTAGAATAGATAGCCACAGGAGAGGGTGGCGTCCCAACCCCAACCTTGGAAATGAGTTCCAGATTTGGAACTGGAACTCCGACAGTGGAGTGTCTCCTTTGAGCCTTGCAACTGGAGTAGTTCTTTCTGGGCCAGCTGCACCTCTGAGGTCACAAGGGGTGACTTTAGAGCAAGCGCTGGTGGGGAGGGTGTTTCTGGAAGCAGGAAAGAGACACGGGGAATCCCAGTGGTGCCTCAGCCTGTCCTCTGTGTGAGCAGGGCCTGCAACTGGCAGGGCAGGAAAAGTGGGGAAGCTACGCCCTTGCCTGTGGCTTCCCATCTCCCAGACTCAGTTGGATGATGAATCCTCCGAGTTTGGAGCTCAGATGGTTTGGCGGTCAGCACCACAAGGGATGGTGCTGTTTGTATTTCTCTTTTAAAGAAAATAAATTGATAGTGTCAGTTACAATATTTGGCCAATCCTGCCTTGCCCTCAAAACATACTTCCTTGTGATATTTCCCCATATTTTTCTAACCTAGAAGCACTCATTGATTCAACAGACCATTGCCCAGAGATTCTGAAATGTTGGCTATTTATTAACTGGTAATTTCCTCAAAAATGGTAGTGAGGGCTCTCCAGGGCTTTTTTCCCCTAGCTAGATAATGGACAACAGAATGGTTTACGGGCTTTGCATTCTAAGAATGGGATGGCATGAGGGTTGAAAGATGGGGAGTGATAGGTATGTGACTCAGATATAACTAACTCAAACTATTATTTTTGGCAGTATTCACAGCATTGGGCTTTGTTGTGGTGTCAACACTGCCTTAAAGATGGATTGGACTGGACAGAATAAACCCTTTTCTGTGGCCCATCTTTTTCACCTGAGGAATTACTGAAGTCAGCTCCTTTAAGCAAAATGGGCTGAATCAGTGTGAGCAATATAATGGACATTGGAATTGGGTTGAATGAGCAAGATGAAAGAAGAGACTTGACTAAGAATGTAAGGAATTTGAGGTCCTGCATATGGTCTCCCTTTGGCCAGAAATGTCAGCTAATGCCAACACAAACACACCCCCACGTTCTGCTAGATATAGACAGTAGTTGATTAATTGAATGTCAGGTCTCTGCCAGAAAGGACAGGGTCTCTCTGGCTTGGGAGCAGTAAAAGATCACCTTCTTGGGAGCAGTAAAAGATCATCCTTCTCTCCTAGTCAGGCATGTGGCAGGTCGTTACTGGAGAATGAGCCTTTTCTGTGTCTCTCTCCCCACAGAGGGTCACCTGGCACCTACGGCAATGCCATTCCCGTGTCAGGCAAACATCATTTTCCCAGCCTTCTCATCTGTCTCAGCTCTAAATTGCTTTATTTTATTTCTGCCAAACCCTAGTTTTATATTTAATGGTTAATATGTCTCTGTGTGGATGCTTTCTACAAATGAGCAATGTTTTTGTAATTTGAACGTGCAAGCCCCATTGGGAACTTGCTGAAGGATGGGAGAACAAATAGTTTTATTCATTGACATCTCCTAATGGCATTCATTTTGTTCAGCTCACTCAAATGCAGAAGTATGCAAAAAATGGGGCACTCCCTGTCCAATCTCTCCCATGCACACACATGTATCTGCCTGTGTGTAAACACACACAGGCTTAATTCAAATGCAGGCCACATTGGAAGGGGGCATGTGAACAGTGCAACTGAACTGCTTTAAAGCTCTGGAAAATCTGGGCTAGAGAGCTGCCGGGTGTCTTAACACTCAAATCTTCCTTGCAGTGACCATTACAAATCACTGAACTTTATATCCGAGCCTGAACCAAGCAAGCCTTGCTGGCATCTCCAATTGGCAACCCGAGACATGCCGCAGTTTTGCTAGAACATACGGGTTTGGGAGGATCTTGGTGGGTGAACTAAAGTCCTCTTTATTTGAACGGGGATACCACTCCGAAGATGCCCATTGCATGAATGTCAGGGCAAATATAGTTTCTTTCCTGAGATACAGGCCACCATAGTTGCCATTTTTGGGATTAAAACACTGCCTGAAATTGAAACACAATATTATGTGTAATGTTCACTTGTAGGAAGGGTTACGCCCACACTGCAACAATGCAGGTTACATCCATGTGCAGACAGAGCTTCCTTTGGCCAACTGGGACTAAAGTGGTCTTGAAAAGTTCAATTAATATTGCTCAGTATTAATGCATTTATTTCCACTAGCCGGAGCTCCCTGGGCGATTTATAGGGCTGCAAGTAGTACTTGCTACACCCCAGCCCCTCCTCCGATAAGCCCGCTCTCCTCCCCCACCGGCCCGGCCCCATTGTGCGTACAGCTTGGGAGGTCAGCAGTGGCAGGATATAGGGAAGCCTCGCTTCCTCTCTCAATGCGTGTCAAGCTCATGTTGATGACACCCGAGGGAGGGAGGAGAGCAGGACTGCTCCTGGCATTGCTGTCAGCTTGTTAAAATACGCTGCAGAGCTAGTGACAATAGAGACAGCCCATCAGGTGCAAGTAGGAGATTCGGGCTGCTGAAAGCTGCCTTTTGAATGCAGTAAAGTGCTGACACACGGAAAACTAAGTCCTGCAGGCTGTAGATGCAGCCTGCTGTGCAGTCTTCCCTAGGGCTACTTCCAGCTAGCTATGGACTGCGGTGGTTTGTCCCAAGGGGAAATGGTCATCTCATGTAATGGAACAGAAGGTGGAGAGAAGGCAAATGCAGGGGATTGTCCAAATTAGAAACGCAAGCGCTCTGTTGAAATATCCAACTCGCTTAAGAAAGCACCGTGCTATTCATATACTACATGACTATAAAAATAATAATGTATTATCATCCAGACTCGGTCATGCTTAGAATAAGCCCAGTGAAATCAATGGGACTAACTTAACCCCCATTAATCTGAGTGGGACTGTTCAGAATCTGAACCCATCAACACTCTCCATTTCAACATCGCAGAATCCTCTCTAGGCTCCTATTATGACAGCTTTCAATGAAAGCAGACAGCAGCAGTGACCCCTTTGCACTTCAGGGGAAAGGGAAGCTGGGGAAGCTTCAGCAAAAAAAGTGTGGGAAAGGAGGAAAATGCTGAGGCATAAAACCAAATCATAGCATTACATTTTAGGCATTTTTTCCAGCCTAGGAAGAAATGGATGTTGTCTGCCCAGACTGAATGTGCCTGCAGTACCTCAGCTTTTTGCCACAAGCAGGAAACTTTGTTGTTTGTGCAATGTGCCCTGTTGATTTGTTAATTTTAAATTGTATTGAAGATTTGCAGTAAATCACTAATATGTTAATGACAACTGAGATCCTCTGGCTTATGTTTGAAGTTTAGGTTTACTACTAGCCTACAGTAGCCATGTAAGTGCCTAATACTTCCATCCAGGAGCCTCTTCACACATTGTGTTGCTTTTCCAGTCTGCTTTTTGAAATATACCTTCTTGAACACATGTGGAAGAGGGTCTCCTGCCAAGTGCAAGGACCCTTCAGCTCGGTGCAAATCCATGCATGGGGAACACGTTAGGCCTTGCATCCCTTGACCAGTCTCAGATACACGCCCTCCTCCTTCAGCTCTGTTGTGCTGAAGGGATTCTATTCTGCTCATTGGGAATGATTCGTATGTTTGCAGAGCAATGTGGAAACGGCTTCCATTTTGGATTCTGTGTGAAACAGCTGGATTCCATGCTGCTTCGATCATGTTTGTTATGGGAAAGCCATATGGGTTGTGAAACTGAAACAGCTCCTTCCCGTGCCAGAGTCTTTGTGCAGCAGTAGCATGGGAAGCGATACGTCCCACATTGTTCTGCCTGAGAGGCATTGATAAAAGTCATATGCTCTCCTCCCCGGTGTCCAACCCTTACCAATTATAGGACAACAGTGACAAAACTGGAATGGAAAAACTGGTTATGACCTGCAACAACCGCCAGGAGGAGCATACATTACACAGCAAACACAATGCAAATATCTGATCTCTTCCTCTTCTTTCTTACATTTCTCAACACATGCTAGAAATGGTAAAGAAGCACGAATCAATGTCACACTCCCCCATCCACTGATGCAAAGGATTCACCCCACCCTGCCTCCCAAGGAGGATTCACCCCACCGTGCCGCTGACATAACCTCATCCCAGGCCCAAGTTATTCATGCAGACAGTCAACAGATTAACTATTGGTTGAGAACAGTGATCCCAAATAGCCAGGCGGAGAAACCTGTCCTGTACAGCAAGATCAAAAGTCTTGGGGGTGTTCTTTCCTGGCACCAGCCTTGCATGAGCCTGGGGAAGAAGGGATTAGTTCAAGAGAGGAGACGCAAGGAGAGGCTATGCAGGAAGCGCGCTCGTTACTCGATGAAGGGGTGTGTTGAGTGGTGGGGAAGGGGTGGGTTTGGGCCAGCCCTGTTCCAATGGGTCTGGCCCCTTCCCCCGGTTAGTTAGTTGTTAGGTGTGCATGCCAGTTGGAGATGAAGGTTAGCGAGCCCAGGCCTGGGCATGCTGGGGAAGGAGCCGGCTGGGCCCTTGGGGCAGGCGGGGCGGGGCAGGGCCCTTGGGGCAGAGCGCAATTCCCACCTTGCGTTCCACTGGAGACGGGCGGAGGGAGGAGTCAACTGCTCTACTTCCCCGTCCTCCCTGCTGGATGGACTGGTTCAGCTCAAAAGCCTGAGGAGAGGAGGAGCAGAGAGTTAGCGCTGGCAGAGTGACCTGCCAGAGAAGCAGGAATGGCAGGGCCTGGCCAGAGAATGCAGCATGCAGCAGACTGACTGTCTCTGTACAAGACACACACATACTCCTGTTGAGAGCAAGATCCCCCTCTTGGATGTCTGAGTCCTGGACGAAGCCTGCATGTGCCAGCTTCTATTCACTGGCCTCACTCTCTGTAGGATTACTGCACTGACTTCACCTGGAGCGAATCATATCTGAGGGGTTTCTTCAGGAACCCCTTCTGCATCTTACAGCAGAAGGGAAGGCTGAGGTTACGGTTCCTATTCTGTCATGTCCCATCAGTACACAGCCTAATGCTTTAGCAGAGCGGCAAAAATCTGGAATGTTTTATGGATGCTTATAAGCCTGTGCAAGCGACAGTTAAAAGCCTGACAGAAAGAATACTAAAAGGGGACCCGAGTCTTCCCTAATGTTGTGGTGTATTACTTTGCATCAGAGCAACTGGATCAGTTTGCATCAAATGAGGAAAAGTTACAATTAGGGACAAAATTAAGCAAAGTTCCTTTAACATATTTACCATGTCCTGTTTTTCATATGGGGGATATTTCTTATATGAGGAGTACCTTCACTGCAAACCTCACACCTTTATGAGATACCAGCCTGGAGTATGTAGAATGAAATTTAAAATACATCTGGCAGATCTGTTTTTTCATCATTTGTTTATAATGGAAAAGACATCATGTATAAGCACTGTGGAAAAATACAGCAGGTACAAACAAGCGATAGGAGATCATCAGGTAAGAATATATCAAAGTTTAGCTAGTCAAACCTTTGAGGACATTTGTTATCGGAAGATAAAAGATAAAATAAAAGTGGAAAATATTTCAGACTAAACAAGCAACTTTCTTTTGTTATTTTATAGAATCAGAAGTATGCAAGGTCATTAAAAGCTGAGGCAAATTTAGTTGCCAATACTGACATTTTCAGTAAAATAAGTACAACTGTTGAGACCAGGTTAATAATAGCTAAATTCTGCTTGCCAGTAAATAAATTTTGAAAGGGTTCAATGAATATGGCCAACCTCCACGTTGGTAAAAATGATACATTCTGTGCAGAACAGAAAGAATGCATTAAGGACAGACAATTTTCATTCAACAGAAATGGTCTTTCATGAAACACTGGATCAGTCATCCTCATCTCCTACACACATATAGGATTAAGCCCCATTCAATGCAGTGATTTACTTCTGAGTAAGTGTGCACAGGATTGGACTAATAATGTGGCATACATCTTTTAATTTTGTTACAAATGTCCACTAAGCCTCATTTATCAGTACGTTCCACTAAGTCAACCTTCTAGAAAACATTAGTATATAGTAATTTTACATGATTTCCTCCAATATTATCAATGCAATTTAAAAAAAACTTTTATTTTACAAAAATGTTTTCAGCATGTAGGTATTGTAATGGACCAAGACCCAGCTCTCTTACAAGTCCCTCTTTAGTTTCTGTGATACTTCTTCCACATTACCTTTTCCAAAACATTCCTTCTATTTTTCAGTGTTCTTGATGTCTTCCCGACATTTCTCCTTGTATGGAAATACTCCCACCTTTCATTTCCCTCTGCCCATGACTGTTGCTTTTCTATTTTTGCTATCGTACTATCAAGGTGGAATAAACAGAACTGCATGCCGAATTCAATGTGAGCGTGCTCTACAGAGGCCTACATTATTTTTCAAGCCTTTCTAAAGTTTTTTGGGTCACTCTTTCCCTGCTGCAGTGCTTTAAGATAAATTTGACAGTGTATTTAAAGTTTCCACCTTATCCTGGCCTTGCTCCTGTGTCTGCAACAGTGGTCTGACAAAGCAGAAATGTAATAGATCAAATCTTTCTTTCCATTCTCTTTACCTCGATGCCAGGAAAAACTTCACTGGCTATATTTCTGTGTGTCAGGTTACAGAAGCAGAGCTAGAAAAAGAAAATGTGGGAACCTTAAATAAATTATCTACAATGGTACCATGTGGTCCTTTTGATAGGTATACACTAATTTACTCAGCACAATCAAATATAAATATACTGATCAAATAGGGTAAGTATTAAGTATTTATGGATGCACTCTGTTCTCTACAAACAGCTCTCCCTTGCCCACTCAAGCCTCAAAGTTATGCTCACTTACAGAAAATTGACTGTTCCTCTAGCAATAGCAGCAAGTGGACAGAAGGAGACGGAGGCACGTGGATCTAAAAGGTATCAGACTGGCCCTTATTCCTGAATTTGAATGCATACACATACTGTAAAATAGGCCCATTTCCCAGCAGAATCAAATGGAGAAGCTTGTGATTATGCCATTAATTACTATGCAAAGCCTCTGCCTCTGGGATTAGAAGTATTCCAGTTTCTACCAAACCCGAGTCCACTGCTATTCAAGATGGCAAAGGATGTTTTAACCCTGCTTGAAGGTCCTTGTGTTTGTTCATGTTATTGGGGTTTTGTCTTCAGCATGTCCTCCATATTATTATCTTTGAAACAGCACAATATATATTTATTACTCCAGAATTTATGTATATTCTTATGAACTCTTATTATAATATTGGGCATGATATTTATGGAAAGTTATTTTCCTGTATCTATTGTCCAGTCTTGTGATATTTGCTCACACCAATAGGAAACAATGTTAGAGCAAAACAATCTTGGAGCCCTGTTAAATGAAGGAAGGTACGGCTACTAAACAGAGGGCACCCCAATTATGGAATAACCTTCTGGAAGAGATTTGCTGGGCACCTACCCTGGGCTCCTTCTGTTGCCAGGTGAGGTCTTTTCCATTTCCCCAGGCTTTCAGCTTCTTTTAAAATCTGCTATTGTATTTTAATCTTTGCACTGTTGATAGTTTACTTGGGTCTTTACTCTTATTTTATATTGTAGCTTTACATTTATGTAGTGTATCTTGTGTTGTATTTTATGAAGTTAATTGTTGTGAACCACCCAGAGAGCTTCAGCTACTGGGTAGTACAGAAATATGAGAAACAAACGAGTAAATAAACACCTTTCTGAATAATGAGTTGCTGGCCCAGGCCCTTCTCTAGAACAATAGCATGTGCTTGAACAGTAAAGCTATTATTTATTCATTCATTCATTTATTTATTTAGAATTTTTGTATGCCGTCCCATCGCTTATAGCCTCAGGACAGTTCACATAAATAAATAAACAAACAAACATAATGCAAATACAATTAAAACCCAGAAACACCCTGACTGCACAATTAAAACCTATAAATATTATCTAACATTATTAAAATATTTTTTAAATAAAAAGGTCTTAGCCTGGCGCCGAAAAACAAATAACGACGGCGCCAGGCGGACATCTCTGGGGAGTGCATTCCACAGATGGGGCACCACTGCAGAGAAAGCCCTCCTCCGCATCCATTGCCTCCTGATGTCTCTCCCGGAGGGCTTCCAGAGGAGGGCCTCTGCTGCCGATCTCAAGGGGCGGGAAGGCAAATATGGAAGCAGGCGTTCCTTTAGGTATCCATGTCCCAAGCCATTAAGGGCTTTATAGGTGATTACCAATACCTTGAATTGAGCCCGGACTTCGATGGAAAGCCAGTGGAGCTGGTAGACGACTGGGGTTATATGAGAATAACACCCAGTCTCCATCAGCAACCTGGCTGCTCTATTTTGCACCATCTGAAGTATCCGGACTGTCTTCAAGGACAACCCCACATAGAGCGCGTTACAGAAATCCAGCCGGGAAGTAACCAATGTGTGCATCACTGTTGCTAGGCAGTCGTCCTCCAGGTAGGGGTGCTGCTAGGGCATCTGCTAAAGCTTCTGGTTGCAAAGAGGCAGGGCTCTGTGCTTCTCTGTGCAAATTGTTCTCTTACAAACTTTTCCTCCCAAGTTTTCTGCACATCAGCAGGAGAGAGGGTCAGCTAGTAGGGCTAACAAAGCAAAATATTCAGCGATACCAATCCCAGGGAAAGCGGGAGTCAGTGCTTCTGGAAGGATTTATGGACGCAGTATATATCTAAGTGCCTATTCCATGTGCACACACGTGTGTGCGTGTGTATACACACACACTACCATGCCCAGTACAGAAGTACCAACCATGGAATTGTATGCATGGGTAGGGATCATGGTGTATGTGAGGGAATGGGCCATGTTGCAAAAATGGTGCTTGGGCTTGGAAGATGGGCAGGAAATATGCTTCCCATCCCTTTATTGAAAAGAAAAACCTGGTCCGTTTTCTGAAGAAAAATGATACAACAAATGCAGCACTGCAAATCCAGCATCTCTACAAAAATCAACAACTGTAAAAACACAGAAAAGCCAAGCAAATGCCAACAGCAGCACAGGAGACCTGATTCTGTGCTATGTAAACCATCCTAAGCATTGATATGCTGCTTCTCGGACTGGCAGTCAGACAGCCTGGGAATAGTTCCATATATTTGTTTAGTTACCTTATGCCTGTGCATCTTCTCATTCAGAATTCTTTCAGGGTAGAGACTGTGTCAGTTACAGGGCTCCATTGCAGAGATACCCCGGCATGAATTTCTAAGGGCCTGTAGTTGGGTAACTGGCCTCCAACTCTATTAGGTATGGAAGCCCAAATCCTTGTTTCAAAAAGCTGAGCACTCAGTTGATGAGAAAAGTGGATCAGTGCATGAATCTCAGAGGGGATGAGGTATTACTTGAACAATTCCCCAAAGGACTTGGAATACATGGCTTCTGAGGGAAGGGTGGGAGTGGCTCCTCAGGCCTGGTAGCCAAAGCCAGCCCTCCAGAGGTCCTTAGAAGTCCATACCTCCATCCCCTGCTCCACATGTTTTTCCATAGCCTTGTGGCTAATTCCCAGGTTTTCCCCATTCTGAAAGACTGAACTTCGTGTCCTAAGGCTAAGTTACTAGAAGTAAGAGCTTTAAGCTAAAATATATTGGTGTGTGGTATGCTTAATTGGCTCAATTTTGGATGCTTTCAGCCCCACCACCATTGGAATGTGGCCTCCTAGAGCTTCTCCAAAATAAAATCCAATCCTCAGACTGGAAGAGCTTCTGCATCCTATTATTCCATGTCTCAGTTAGCCTCTATCCATAATACCAATCCTAAATCCATTTGTATTTGGTTGGCTTTGTGCTAGGACACATAGTGGACTACACGCTAGTCCAGGGCTGGACTAGGACTGGGAAGATCTTGGTTTGAATCCTTACTCAGTCATGGAATTCACTGAGTGAATTCAGGCTAGTCAGTGTCTCTCAGCATAACCTACCATAAAAGGCTGTTGGGAAGATGACATGAGGAGAGTCATATATGCCCCCTTGGGCTCCTTGAAGGAAAGGTAGAATACAAAAGCAACAACTAAATATAAGTATTCAAGAACAGATCCTGGAAATCAATCTCCAGGAAATCAATCTTGTAACAGGTGGAGTGGAGGCTCCTACCACTAGATTTCTGTTACTGTAGTCTGGAGGATGCTCTCCTGATGCCAAGTCCAGGTGCTTCTCCAGCACTGTTCTGGCTGCTGTTCCAGCCATATGCTCCCGCAGTGCCTCACCTGTGCTTTACGGCCACGATTGACAAAGGTGCAGATAGGATTGTATGCTCCAGTGCCACAAACATACAAGTGGGTTCGATTCCAGGGCTGGATAAGACGGATAAAGTTCCCACACTCTCCCTGGAAAACAAAGAATGCTGTAAGTTACTCTAAGTCCTCTCAACATTTTATCCATTTTAAGGAGGGGAGGGGAATGATCCCATCCTCTAACCCTCCTGGTCTAACTAGTAAGATGGCCAGGTGCTATTTTGCAGATCTCCATCTGAAGAGCTGGCATCTGAAGGTGTCTTCTAATTGATGGGCTGTCATCAAAGGCTGGATTCAATTCAAGGAACCAAAAGGAGAGAAGGAAACCATCACTTAGCAGATGAAAGCACACAGGCCATCTAAGCAGTCTTTCTCCCCATGGTGAGATGCATTGTACTTCTATCTAAATTACAATAATTATTTTTATATTTTTGTTAAGTTATGCACTTTGATATGCTCTCTTTTAGTGTTGCATATCCTCTTTTTTTGTTCTAAGTGGTCCTACAACTAACTACCTATTTACAACCACGTTACTGTTTCTGCATTACTCATAAATGAACATTCTCTGTGCAGCCTCTAGATTTTGTCACACCACATTGAACAAATGTGTGTCAAATGGTCCTCTTCAACAAGCTTTGCTTCCAGTTAAGATTGAGGCAAATAAGGTCTGATGTTCTTGGAGAATTAACAAATAAACATTGCAGCCTACTTCTTCCAGCATGTTTTGCAACAAGGATCTGGATGTACTTCTGAGACAACTCTCTTGTTCTCCTTCTATATAGTGTCCTGACTGGAAGAATTTACCTCCTCTGGAGCCAATATTCTTACATCACATCTTGTGTGGCAGCATAGCTGTAGTCCAAGCAGACTATAAATGGTGCACCTTCCCCTCCTTGGCCAATTTTTCTGAGAAAGTAATCGCTCTATGATTGCTGTGACAAATGTCTTGGGGCCAGGACAGCAAACCCTAGAATCCTGTTTCTGCTTATTTTCAAAAGCCAGAGAAAGTGGCTTGAATATCAAACCTATTAATGGGCATTTCTTAGGAGAAGAAAGGTCTGTGTCCTTATCCGCTCAGGGAAGGAAGCAGGCAAGTCAACCCCTGGGCTCCCCACTCATTAAAAGGCACCCGGAGCTGGGAAGCAGACTCGCTAGTAAAGCCCGAGTAACATAACTAATGGGGGAGTGATAGCGGGGAGACCCAGAGGGCAAGCCAGACAATTCCTGGGCTGGATGCAAAGGATGCTGTCAAGGCCCACACGTGCTAGCAAACTGGACTGGAGACCAGGCATGCAGATCATGTTTCCTCCTTGCCTCACACACCCTCAGTGAAGGGGGATCATGCTGGAGTGAGCTGGAGCCAAATGTTACAGAGTTCTGCTGGGTGAGAAGAGCAAGCAAAGCCGGCTTCCTTCCACTAAGTCAGCCCCATGGCTCTGAGACTGCGCTGCAAACAGTAGCAGCTGAGAAACTCTGAGCAGGCAGAGTTCAAGGTCAGCAGGCCAAAAGTCTGGCTGTGCTGCATAGGAAACAGCTTGGGAACCTTCGACTCCTTGCTTCCTTCTTCTGTGATGAGGAAAAAAGGCAATGTGCACAAGTGCTGGTGGACTTGGCTGGGCTTGGATCGCCTACCGCTGACAAGGCAGCTTCACCGTATTGAGGCATATGTCAATCTCCCGGGATCCCATAGCAGCTGCTGACTGTGCCCTTTTGGAAAGGGCAGCCACCTCCAATGCCTTTGTTGGGCGATACCCCATGACAGCAGGATTGCATCGCCAAGGGAGGAGGGGTAAGGTCCACCTGCACCACGAACCTTTCTTGACTATCTTTCTAGTCCCAAGAAGCCTGCTATTAGTAAATGCAGCAGCATATGGATCTGCTTTGGCTCAAAAAAAAAGAGGTTTATTTCAGACCTTTTTATTTCAGCAATATCTTAATACGTTTTAATATTGTGTCCTGTATGTTTTTAACTGCAGCCAGTGTGGGTCAATGATTTATTCATGTTATATTTTATTTTATTGTATTTCATTTATGTAAGCTGTCCTGAGGCTTTTGTGACAGGACAGCATATAAATATTTTAAATAAATAAGTAAATCTGTGGGAAACCAGACCAAGGGGCTGGGCTCCTTATGACTGAAAGACACAGGATTACCCAGAATGGGCAGAACAAATAAAATCTGGGAGATGGCAAGGATGCACAATATAGCTGTCACCTTGCTGACTGTGTGATAGTGCTGTGGAGGTGTGTGCAGTTCTAAGAGGCCAACACCTAAGTAGAGACAGGAGCTTTCCATCCCAAGAGATACTGGATGGGCAGATTTTTGGAAGCATAGGTTTAATCCCTTCTCCCCTCTCCCTCTCATCTTCTGTAAACCTGGAGACTACAGCAGAAGTACTTACATTACTGTTCTTCCCTGAGAGAACACATTCATCTATCCTTTGCTGGGATGCAGGCCAGTGGATCTGCCAAACAAAACAACATCTTCAGTGCTGCTGTTATAACCTTCCATAGAACTGTGTTGAAGCAGATACGGCACACAAGTTTTGTGTAGCTCATTCCGAATCCCAGTCCAAAATCAGACAGTCTCCTGGGCCTGCAGGTCTGACTTCAACCACTGGTCACCAGGGATCTTTTGACCTGGTCATTTAAGAGGGCAGCTACTTATTAGTACTGGCGAGTTTCCTTAAAGGCAGCACTGCTGCTTTGGGGGCAAAAAGTAATTCACCCCACCCTTTGCCTGTGACAGCAAGTCTTTCATTAGTGGAGGCTGAGTGCAATGGGGTTTGCAAGTGTCCCAGGCACCTTCTGCATTGTATCTTTGCAACCGCAGTGATGACTGTGAGCAAGTTCCCCTTCCCTTGCTTACTTTTTTAAAATGATGCACTTAAAAAAAAAACAAAACTAAACTTCTGTCACAATATTCTGGTAATCCTTTTGAAAAATGTGCCAAATGAGCACGCACGCACACACATCATACATGCACCATCCAGTTAGTTCATGAATCTTTCTGCTTGAAAGGAGCTATTTCGAGGATGTGCCTACGGCCCCGCTCCAACACAGGTCTGCACAGCTCTCCCGGGTGCAGAAAGGCAGTAGAGGTGTTTGCCCACAGCAGGGCTAGGCAACCTCATTTCCCAAGAGAGTTTAGACTACCATGCCGATCAACCCAGACAGCATGGCCCGTGTTTCGGGTTCCTGGGACTTGCAGTTCACAACATCTGGAAGCACCAGGCTGCCGACATCATGCCGATCCTCACGAAGCAAGGCTGCTCCCTCCCACACATGCGCCTGGCCTATATATTGTGCCTTTGCTGTTGCATTCGGCCTTGCACACCCCTTCTGCAAACATGGAGCTGTCCCTGCGAGCGTCCATGGGCCAGCCACCCCAAGGAGCCCCAACAGAAGACACGACAGGGCCACGCACTGGCCCCTCGACTCTTCACTTGGGCCAACCATGAGTGGCAACAGTGTGATTTTGACAGAGAGGTAGGCAACAGCTGCTCTCGTCTAAAACTGAATGAACGGGAGACGGGATAGAGAAAGGGACACACGGACCTTTTAAATAAAGCAAGCAAATAATGAATGTCACATAAGCAGGGCTTTGAAAAAGGAGAAACTTGCTGGACTTTATTTTATTTTCAGTTGGATACTGAAGTGCTCCTGGGTTTGAATGATTTAGGAAAGAAAGTCCAGCTTCTAGAGCAGAACTTCTTTCATTTCAAGGGCCAAATACCAATATAGAGGCTGCATCCCAGTGCCAAACAGGCTGGTTTTGACTTGCAGGAGTACAGCTTTTTACCCCTGCTCTAAAGAATTCTAAAGATCACAGGATGGTGTGGGCAGGGGTTGGTGATTGTGTTGCTCTTCACCAGTTATGTTTCAGGAACTGTGTAATAGGATATACAATCATCTTCTACATGGAACTGTGAGAACAATGGATTTGTTAACTGTGGGCAGGCCAACATTTGCTGGGTTCAGACAACATGGTAACCCATACTCAGGGCTTAGTACAGGTTGACTATGTGTTGTTGTTGAACCATAGGCTGTTGTTGAAACTTTGGATATCATGCTATCTGAACCCAGCTGTGCTAACAAATCATGATTTGTTAACCATGAACAACCCACAGCTCCCAATCCAACACCAAACCATGAGTTCTCTTCATGGTTCTCAAATCAGAGTGTGTTAGCAAAGCTGAATTCAAACAACAAGGTAGCCTACATTTTGTAACAGCCCATGGTTAAACAACAACCTACATTCAGCCCATGCACAACTCTTGAGTGTAGGCTATCATATTGTCTGAAGTGAGTCACTTTGTATTTTAGTCCTACTTCTCAGCAATGACTGGGTTTGCACATCACAACAAACAATCATGTTTTTCCCCCCACTGTGGTCTTGTAGTGTTGTTTGAACTCAGTCATGATGTAGCACCACAATTTGTTTTGGGCCCAGAAACCACAATAAGAAACAATGGTCTGCTGTATGGTTTCTACTTACTGTGATTGTCTATCATGACATCTGGAGCTGGGAGCTTCGTTTTTCCATTTGTGGTTAAAAAATTATGTGAAAATAGCAGCAACAGACGGGCCTTCTCCAGGCATCTGACGTCTACTACCCATGGCTTCCCACCAACACAAACTTCATCATTTGCTTTGTCCCTACTGGCTGAGCGCTGTGCCTGCCACACTGTTTACTTTCTGAAAGTGAGGAAATGCATGGAGAGGCAGGGGTTTGCAGAAAAAGTGTTTATTTTGATATATGTAAAAACTCTGGGGGCTGGATTGGCTAGAAAGCATTGAAATGATGGGGGTACAATCAGGAGGAGAAGAGGGAGAACCTGCCTCAAAACCTCAGCCAGCCAATCAGGAAGAGACAGCAGAGGCAGACAGAGAACAATATAGTAATGAACAGGATTTTGTTTGTGGGGGTTGCTGGGGTGTGTGGCAAGAGCAGGATGCAGAAGATCATTCATTCATTCATTGAATTTATATCCCACCTTTTTCTTACAAAGAACTCAAAGCAGCTTACATAATTCTTATCCTCCTGCTCTCATTCTTATCAACAACCCACAACAACAACAACAACCCTGTGAGGTAGGTTGGGCTGAGAGTCTGTGACTGGCCCACAGCCACTTGGTTGGCTCTAGGGTGGAGTGAGGACTAGAACCCAGATCGCCTGAGTCCCAGTCCCATGCTCTTAACCACTACACCACACTGTTTTTCAAAATGACAGAACCAACTGGGGTTTGTGATCACCTGTGATAATTGCTTGCTTGTCATGATGTGTGAACCTGCCCAGTGACTTGCATGCTATGACTGCTATCTACTCCAAACTGAGCACAGACAATTACTTGGGCTTTCTGTTATCAGCTGAGCTGAATTATTTTCCCAAATACCCCCCGCCTGGCTTTCTGTCTCCTCCTGGTCAAAAGAGAAATGCACTCACAATGAGGGGCTCCCGATTGATATCATGAAGATCCAGTGAGAGGATGTAGTCTTTGCTCCCCACATACATGCGGTCGTGATCTTCATCCTTCAGCAGGATGCGATAATCTGTTGAGTTGAGAAGGAAATTGAAGAAATGGGCCGTGCCCGTCACCTTGAGCTCTGAAGAAATAAACAAAAGAAAAGTGGTGCTTTAGTTAGTTGCTTCCGTCAGTGGTCTTTCTTGATGCAAGAGTCTCACCTCAAGAAGTAGCCTGTGTGATCTGGAAGCGACCATCAAGCTCCAAAAGCTCTAGAGCACACTTAGCCCTTAAATGCCATAAACTGCAGGCCTGCCGTCCACGTCCATGATGGACACACCCAACAACAATGATCTACACACAGCTTAGCTCATCAGAGCAATCCTATGCATGTACATGCCCTGTAAATCAAGGAGTTCAGCTGGACTTAACTTTGCGTTGCTCCTTGTAAACACCTGCTTCCAGATGAAACTTTTATCCTACAATTACTCTCCCTCAGACTCAGAATTATCGGGGAGTCCAGATATCATTTTCTCTGTGTTTTTCTACTACTTAGCTCATCCTTTTTCTTATGAGAAAAAAAATCTGTTAAGGAGGAAAATATGGACTGAGTGCACAATGCCTTTTGATTGGTATCACTAAGAGCCGTCCATCTTGAAGCACTCCCCATCAGTCAGGCATGAGACATGGGAATAACCATGTGGGGGGGGGGGAGAGAGAGAGAGAATTGCACACATTTTATCCACTCCTAGGCACAACAAAAGCTACACAGCTTCATACTGGGCTTTTTGTTCCAGCCAATGGGCCAAATGTGCACAAGCTGCGCTCATAAGCTTGGAAAGGGGCCTTTCATTTCATAGCATGTGGGTTTATATATAAGGTGCTGGGGTGATGTCATTGATAGTCCTGAAGTGGGGCTTCTACCAGTCCGGTTCTGGTGCTCTTTCATCTCTGGTCTCACTGCAAGCTTGGCAGACTGACCACCATGGTCTAAAGACTCCCATATGAAGACCAGCCTGCCTGAGCACTGTCAACTAGCCCTGAGGGCTGGTCCTGGTCTGCTTAATCTACAATACCTCTAGTCTGAGGAATCTTCCAAGTTTCTGCTCCTTTTCTCTAACTGGTGCCTTGGATCATGACTCCTGCCTGCCTTTGACTATGTACCTGCTGCTGATTTTCCTGATACTCAATTGCTAGCATGGTCCATAACTTCTGTCTCCAGCCCCTCTGATGCTTATTTGCCTGCTCTGGATCTTAGTCCCAGCCCTCCAAGTTCTGGATCACAGTCTTGTTTCTGGCCTGCTTGGGCAAATACTCAACCCTCCTTTCCCAGTTCCAGAACCCAGTGGCCTGGATCCTGCGCTCTGCTCTTATACAACCACAGAATCTCTGAAATACAACAAAACCATTCACTTCAATCCCATGTCTTTCTGCCTAAAAGCAAACTCTCCCACTTTCCTACTGACCAGGAGACTGTGCAGGGATTTGGAAATAATGAGTTCTGCCTTTGATGCTGGTATAAATTACTTCTCAACATTTCTCTAAGATTCAGTCGTCTCACTGTCTAATTTGGTCTGTGAGTCTTTGGGGAGAGAACAGTCACTCATTCTGTGCCCATGCAATGCTCCCCTTGTATCAGATTTCTACTTCTTATTTATATCTTTATTATACTCTGGCTTTTTTCCTGCGTGAAATCCAAGATGGCTTACATAACTCTCCTGCCCCTCCTCTCCATGTTATCCCCACAACAACCCTGAGAGTCAATAACTGGCCCAAAATCTCTGAGTGGGACTCAGGGCCATGTGGGGATTGGAACCTGGCTCTTCGGACCCCGCCTGCAACACGTTAACCACCAGTGCTCACTGCCTCCCCGTGCACTTTTTATCGCCCGTTTATCTTACATGTGCAGCATCCCAGAATGAGCACCAGGCACCTGACCTCTGCATAACATCGTAACATTGTTCTCATACCTTCACTTCCACTTGGTATTTTGCTGTCCTTGGAGGAATGGGGAGAAAGGGCCCACTCTGTTAATCAGGGCCAAAGTTCAAATGCAAATTCAGCTGCTCATTAACAACAGCCATTATATGGTATAGTAACTGTACACATTTCAGATCCACGGTTGCTGATCAGCACAGGAAGGGCATAATCACATTAATCCCATCTGAAAGGCTCACTTCCTGAAAGCAAGTAATTGTGGAAATCTGCCTTCCGCCCAGTCCGGAGGAGAGAGGGCAGCTTCATGTGCACAGCTAGCACTGGCTCTGAACTTTAACACTGGCCCTGTGCAACGTCGTTTATAATTTTTATCTACTAACGGCGTACAACACCCCTGTACAATAAGTCAGTACTTTAGAAAAACACAAGCAAACAAAAACAAAGAACGCATTTAAGCTGTGAGGAAGCGGTCTGCCAAAGTGACCAAAGAACTGATGGCATTGCTGGGCTTTGAACCTCCAGTTTCCAAGCCCAGGCCCAACATATTATCCACTGGATCCTTCGCTTGCAGGGAATGCTGTTGTACTTACAAGGGGTCATGGGGTAGGGCAGGCTTCAAGGAATCGCTTCTTGCCAGTGTTAACATTACAGACGGGGCTTGTGTACTTAAGGGAATTCTCTCACTTTCCAAATCAAGTTAGAACAAGGGCTCAAGCTGCCACTCTTTCACAACTGGTTTCCCCCTACTGTTTGGGGATTTGAGGAACCATTTATTTCCTGGATTACACATATTAAATAGTTGCCTTCCTTTCTCACCAGCAGAAACCAAAACCAAAGCAACACAAAACTCTGAAATGTCTAAAAAGGATAAAGGGAATTTTTAAAGTGATAAAACGCCCTCTGGTTTAATGCCTCCCACCTGTAGTTGTCTAAAGGCTCTGCAGTTAGGAATTCTGTGGCTGTTATATGCTGTTACGTCGTCTCTGACTTATGGTGCCCCGATGAATGAGTGAAAGCCCTCCAAAATGCTGTCCTTGAAAGCCCTGCTCAGCTCTTGTGAATTCAAGGTTGTGGCTTCCTTTATGGAATCAAGTCATCTCCTATTTGGTCCTCTTCTTCTGGTGCTGCTTTCCACTTTCCCTAGCTTGACTGTCTTCTCCAGGGAGATTTGCCTGCTCATAATGTGTCCAAAGTAGGACAGCTTCAGTTTCAGCATTTTTGCTTCCAGGAAAATGTCTGGCTTCATTTGATCTAGGACCCACTTGTTTGTCTTTCTCTTGATCTATTCACAAAGCTCTTCTCCAGCACCATGTTTCTAACACACATCCATTTTCTTCCTGTCAGCTTTTTTCACTGTACAGCTTTCGCAGCTATACACAATGGTTGGGCATGCAATAGGTAGATGACCTTGGCTTTGGTCTCCAGTGAAAGATATCAGGAAAGAGTCTATTCTTAATGTTCAAAAATGCAAATATGATAAAGGTCTGTGTATAGAAGTTTGGCTGAGAAGAGCTGGGAGCATCTATATATAATGAAATTGACACACCTAGAATCATAGAATAGTAGAGTTGGAAGGGGCCATGAAGGCCATCAAGTCCAACACCCTGCTCTTGCAGGACAACACATTACACCATCCCACTCAGATGGCTGCCCAGTTGCTTTCTGAATGTCTCTAGTGTGGGAGAGCCCACCACCTCTCTGGGCGACTGGTTCCACTGCCGTATTGCTCTGACAGTGAGCAAGCTTTTCCTGATGTCTAGCCTGAATCTGGGTTGTGACAGCTTGAATTGATTATTCCATGTCCCATACTGTGGCATCAGCAAGAAGAGATCCTGATTTTCCTCTTTGTTACAGCCTTTGAGGTACTTATAGAAGAATATCATGCCCCCCTCAGCCTTCTCAAGGCTGAACATGCCCAAGGCTAAACATGCTCAGTCTCTCCTCACAGGGCAGTGTTTCCAATCCCTGGATCAAGGGTCTCCTCTGGACCCTTTCTATTTTTACTGCATCTTTCTACGGCACAGTCCTACCATTTGCACCCTTGTTGCTCACAAGCCATTGAACTCAGAGGCTTATGAGAATCAAGTGCTGAACAGGAGAAGAAATCGATGCCATCTCTGCCTCTCTGTACCTCCCACCGAGGTACTTTGGGGGATGGGACAGGAATACACCATCATCCTGACAGCCCTGGCCTCTTCCCCTCCATGCACTCTGGAATTCCCTAGTCATCTCCTCTCCAAAGTCAATTTCTCAGCACTGGAAAGGCAGCTGGTACAGTTCTTTCTGTACTAGTTGCAGGAGGGGTGGAATCGAAGTGCTGGCATCCTGGTCAGAGTTCTGCGTTCAACCTCAGAACTGGGGAATCTGAATTACCCTATGGCCCCTAGTTCAGGGGTGACAGCGTCACTCTTTTAGATTCAGAAAAAGCAAGGAACAGGCTAACAAAATTAAACTAAACAGCTTACTCTATACAGTGGTATAGGATCCTGTATAGTGGCATAGGTTCCAGGACTCTGGTTCTGACCCAAATTGGTCATGAGCTAAGTCAAATTTCCCCATAAGGTTCAAATGTAAATAAGGTTAATCTGTTCTGTAACTATTTTTTTTTAATCAGAAAAAATGAAGCAAAGTGACAAAGAACAACAAAGATCACAGCCATCTTCCACGGGGGGGGGGGGGG